GTAATAGCTGAGTAGAAGCTTAACAACAGCCAGCCAACTGAACCCCCTTTTTGTGATCTCAGCTAGCGGGGCCAACAAAGACTGTGGTACTGAGTAAATGTATATTAATCAGTCTGGTTGTCAGACTTTGTTCAGAAAAAAGGCTTTTACACAGAAAGGACTTGCATACATGTACCAGTAGGTTTGGGGGGGCAGTCAGAAGTTCTGACCCAGTTGTGCGCCTGAGGGGCCTGTCTGCAAGTCTGTCAGGAATGCTGCCAAAATTTCTCTGTAAAAGCTCAACTTGTGTTTGTTGGGGGGGAGAAGCATTTCTGTGGATGGGTTCGTGGGTGTTGCAGGCTTTAGAGTTTGGCATGCTACATGTACCCTATATGTACTTCAATCCCAAACCTGTGAAAGGTCATGCACACCTCTGCCCCTGCTACCGGGGGTATGCCAAGATAACTTTTTTCTCCTGTTAAAAAAAGTAACTTCACTATGTCACTTTTTCATAGCAAAGGGTGATGGTCGTACGTGTCACTAGCAGATTTGTTCTTGTATTCCACTCTGGTATACAAGTCTCTATACTTTGTTTATTTACTTTGAGGTCAGTTAATACTTGGTATGACAGCAAGCACAAATTTAGATTTCCTGATGTCAGATCAAATATCAGTACTGGAAATCTGTAACAGTTACACATACATGTAAACACACTTCAAGTCGGATGAAGTTTGCTGTGTACGTGTGTTGATATTAAATTGGCTGCTCTTTTACAAAAAAAAATTATTATTGCGTTTGTCATGCTGGTGTAAACCAGCCTTAATATTGCTCATTTTTCTTTATGTCTTCTTCAAGCCAGCAGATCTTGGTTGTATGGACTTTGGAATGTCTTAGCCCTGGCATTCCAGCCGGAGAGTCCAACCACCAGCTGTGCATAGCGTGAAGGCGGGGTACTAGTCCAACATGGCTGCCTTGCCACGGCCCATCCTGCCAGCTCTTCTCTTGACCTTCCACCTGGCAGCCACTTCAGTTGGCCAGCTGGTGCTGGTCAACCAACCCTTGGAGGTGCCGATCGGCCGGACTGTCATGCTGGATGAGAGTGTGCTGGCGTTTCAGGCACCAGGCGAAGACGAGCAGTGTAAGGTGGAGGTAGCTGTGGATGAGCCATTTTATCAACGAGTGGGGAGGCTAGAACCTCAGGTACTTGTGTTCTCGAATCTGTTGCAGACTGTAACTTACATAACGTTCAACTTGGAGAAACCAGTAGTCAGTTTCATGTCTCTTCTAAGCACACAAAAATTGCTAAGCTCAAAACGGAAACGTGCTACATGTACATGTAAGCAATATGAGCACAGAAAAGTACCAAACATGGAAGAGCACTGTGCAGAGAAAAGTGTTCCGCATGGGAAAGTGCTTTAATGGCATGCATGAAGGAGAAGTGAGCACGGAAAAGTGTTCCGCATGGGAAAGTGCTTTAATGGCATGCACGGAGGAGAAGTGAGCACGGAAAAGTGTTCCGCATGGGAAAGTGCTTTAATGGCATGCATGAAGGAGAAGTGAGCACGGAAAAGTGTTCCGCATGGGAAAGTGCTTTAATGGCTTGCATGAAGGAGAAGTGAGCACAGAAAAGTGTTTAGTACATAAAAGTTCCAAGCACAGAAAAATCCTTGGCATGGAAGTGTGCAAAGTAAAAAAAAAATGTAAACTTGTATGGAAAGTGCTCAGTACAGAAAAATGCCCAGCATGTAAAAGTGCTTAGTACATGTACGTACGGGAGAATGCTAAGCACAAGAAGAAAGTTAGAATAGAAAGATACCAAGCAATTCACGTGCTGAGCACAGGAAAGTGCCAACATACATGTACACGTATCTGTAGCAAACAAAAGTGCTTAGCAGAACCAAGAGATCAGGACAGAATGGCCCAGGTAGTGAGGCATAAATAAAACTGATTACCATCCAAAATGCACATGTGATATACATAAATGCAACAAGTTTTCTTCTGCCCCTAAATTTGGTGGACAATATTTAATGCATAGGAACATCATTGGATTGTGTCCTGAGCACAGTTTTATAGCGCTGTTAGCAGAACCGTTGCGCCCACTGTAGCAGAAAATTTTGCTATAAACGGGGAGCACTATGGCAGGGGTGAATGTTCCTCCAAGGTAAGTGTGCCTCTTGTGAAATAAGTAGAGCCTAATTCAGGGTAAAAATGTTAAGCTCGGCAGTGGCATGTAATAAGTGGGCAACTGTATACTGGCAGGAGGGTCATTTCATGAGGTTGGGGCACAATTTGTGTCCTTGTTACATGGGTAACTTTTACCACCTGTCACGACCTGTAGAGTAGGTCATTTACTCTGTGAATGTAACACACACCTCTGTATTCAGCCTTGCAAAATGTATAATTTGAAATCCACAAGCAGGGAAATAATGTAGCTGTTCATTTTTTAGGGAACCCACATAACAATGGATACCATCACAAATTGTGTCCCAACCTCATGGAATGACCCAAGAAATAACTTACAGATGGCTTTCGATCTCACTAAACTAAATCATTTGGGTGCATCACAATCTGCCCAGATACATGCACTATGAGTCTGTGGACAAGTGATACCAATTACGTACATCACAAGCAGTATGCACGATTTATGTTTGCCGCAATGGCATAGATTCTCAGGGCGTCTGGATGGGGTCAGAGTGGCTTGTGTATGACTTGATTTATTCTCAAACAGCCCGTCAGGAATTGCTGTGGCTTGCGTGTCTAACATTGCTGCCTTCATGGAAACAACAGCTGGGCGACATTGTCCAAAAGCTTGGCAGTGGATACCGTAGCTAGGATTTTACCTGGGGGGGTGGACAAAGGGAGCACCAGCATCTTATGGAGGGTACCAGCTTTCAGTGGTGTGGTTTATTGGGGCAAGTTTTTGTTAACCTTGTTCAATATCCATTCGTGTTTTGTTTTTTTCCAGAGGGGGGCACCTGGGGGGGGCACCAGGAATTTTGTGGGGGGCACGTGCACCCCAGGCCCCCCCCTATATGCCACTGAAGCTTGGCGACATTGGCCCAGTCAAAAATGTGCAAAGTTCAAAAGGCTAGACCCCTCCCCCCCAGCGTGAGCTGAGTTTACAGTCGGAGCCTGCCTGAGGTATTAGCCTGAGTCCACTTAGCACATTTAGACTGTGGCAGTGTTGCGGCCTCCATTTGATCTGAGAAATATTTGCATTGGTTTTCCCTCCTCTTGCAGTTCATTTAAGTGACAATTTAATGTGTAAAATAATGTGCTGTCATGACATTTGGCCCTTGAAATATACACCACAGAGTGATGAAGACATGAAACACGCCAATCTGGATTTGCATGTCAGTGGCTGAATTTCAGAGTCTACACATTTCGGACTGGACAGTACTTGTTCATGCCAGCAGCGTACGGGCATACTCCTTGTATCAGCTCTGGTAAAAACAGGTTCACAGTTGGAAAAAAAGAAAGTAGTCAATAATTTTCTACCTGAGCCCATACATGTACAGAGTGGTTTGGTGCCTGTTAAATCTTAGACTGAACTCTTTCAAGTATGTTGCTTCCCATCCATTGATGCAGAGTACATTGAAAATCACATTAGAAGTCATTAAAATGGAGACTTGTACCGGTAAATCAGTTTGAGACATGCAGGGCATATCAGAACTAAAGAAAAATCCGGAAAAAATCAGTAACTTACATGTACATGTACAGTAGGTTGTCAATTTATTAGTTCGTTCTGATTTTTTTTGGAAAAAAATTTGCTCTAACCCAGTTTTTCTAATCCAATTTATCCCAATTTTCATCAATGAAATGAAATCACTGTTGTTTTATCCGCTGTTTCCTTTGACTCTGATAAATTATTCTAGTCTTTCAGAAATACACATGTCTAGACTTTCAAGAGGCCGTGGCCTCCTTAACTGTGGTTTTGGCCTCTGTGACCTTTGAGATTATACACATTTAGATTTTCAGATGGCTTTACTCTAAACTAGGAAATTGGCCTTGCCCTTTTGAGAAAGGTTGTGGCTCTGTAATTCATGTACATGTTGGTAAATGTGTTGTGCAAAAGAATTTTGGCTGGTGCTTTTTACTTTGAACCAGAAAAAAATACTCTACAAGTTAAAGCCACTTTAAAGCTGGCTTTAAATTAAAGTTTAAGCCCGCGAAACTGGAATCATCTTGAAAGATTTGATAGGACTGTTAAATCGTTAAATTTCGGGACAAAACCATTCCCATAAATTGCCTGCACCAAATTTTGGATGGATTGTACTGTGGAAAAGGTACATGTACCAAGTAACATTTGGATGGTATAGTGTGATTTACTATTGACCATGTGGATGTATACACATATATTGCCATCTTTTAGATGTAGAAATCATTAATTGATGGCTCTGAGCTTACACTAAAATTCGATTGAATTAATCTTTGTGTAGCTGAGATTTGAAGAGGTGGGATTCCTCTGCCTTGTGCCCAGTCTTACACGTAGCTTTCAATTCAATTCAATTCACATCTTGTTTATTAATTCAAATCTTGTTTGTTAATCACTCTCTTTGCTGCTTAGTGGCTGAATTGAAAACAGCCTACAAAAAACTAAAAATTTATAATCAACAAAACCAAATGCTAAATTACAAAAGAATAGAAAGGTGAACTTAAGTAATGTTAAAAAAGTTAAAGGAAAACAATATATGTTATTCTTGCAACACTGCTTAAAAACTAGCATCTCAGAAATGGAGGTTTGGCTTAATTTGCTAATATTGAAATTAAAATACTCCAGCTACAGCCAGACCGAAGTTTAATTATGACATAAAAGAAGGAAAGTACTTCATTAAAAAAGGTTTTAAAAAAATCCTCTATTTTAGGGTCAGTGTATTGAGCACCCGGCTTCGTGTGATGACCAGAAGCTTCAATATCCGTTCCCCACAGCCAGGTTCCTAGTAGACAACCTTCCGCAATTTCCTCACAAATTCCCCGGATTTGACCAGCTTTTCGTTACGTGGCAAGTCCCACCACGCTACTGGATGACTCAGGATCTTGTGTGCATTTCTGTAGCCATGGTAGCCTCATTTGCTTTACAATTATTGGTGAATCACTCACCACAGTACTGGTTCCCTGATCGTTTTTAAAATACATGTAGACTACATGTGTAATTGGATTTTAGATGATTTCAAACCTTGTTCATTATATCTTGATGTAGGGAGACTTACATGTACATGTACCGGTACTTTACGTCTGAGGCAAATCTTGGACAGCTATATCTTATCACATGCTGTGTTGAAAACTCTGTCATACACCTTGTATTATTGTGGCAAATGGTACATATTCATATCATGTACATGATGCACACAAGTGAATGTTATTTCCATTTGCAGGCATGCTGGATTACTCTGGTACATGTATGTCATGTATACATGTACTAGCATGTGGGCATACTCAGCTACTAGTAGATGAGAAAAAAGTTTTATGAAAAACACAGATGGCTTTTTTTTTAGCCCTCGAGGCAGTGTGAAAAAAAGGTCAGTTTGCATGTATTATTGTAGATGTTTGATCTATCAATCTCTTTGATAAATGCCACTTGCTACTGGTGTGTCCAACTCAGAGAAATCAGAGGGCTTGAGGAGAAGCCTTTGGGGAAAATAAATCCGGTGTTTACTTTGTATATATACATGTAAGTCCTTCCGAAGTTCAGGTAAATCATTCCCAGAGGTCCAAAGGACAGGTTCAAGCACACTCCAGCAATTTCTTTTATATCCCCTTTGGGAGGTCGTGCCTAAAAGGGGCAAGTTTTCCAAGCCCAGGCTGGGAAACCTAAAACTTTTGTTACAGTACATTTAGAGTGCGGTGCTTATCAAATTTCACCGTGGTTGAGGATAGGTTACATTTCTCGGAGGAATGCCAATGCACGTGCATCATTTGCAAATTGTTCCTTTGTACTTGTACCTCAAAACCGATAGGTGAAATCAGCCCTCACGTGTACATTTGTATTTGTTACCTCTTGTCATGCACCTTTTTGCCATGCATTTATGTACCATCAGCTTAAATGCTCATTAGTCAATCTTAGATTTGCAGCTTGCATTTATGTGGTCATAGATCTTTGCACTAACCATGAAAATTCCTTCACTGACCTGACTGAAAAAAATTTGAGAATGTATAAAGAAAAGTGCCTTCCATGGCTGTAAATGTATGTGGCAGAGCTAGAAATTTGTTATACTTTTTGTAAGCGTCTTTTCGTAGGAGTAGTTCCCCTCTAAAAATACAGTTCTTGTTTAGAGTCCCCTGTATTTTTCTAATAGTGTATCCCCCTGTTTATTTACTTTGGCCCATGCTTCTACCCATATAACTTGACCCCAACGCTCTGACCATTTAGTTTTGAAGAGCAAATCAGCAGAGACACTATCACTGCTCATGTACCGGTATTTGTCCCTCCTCACTGGAGTGGGTGTTTCTGGTTTCTGTCTGCTTCTATGAGTCAGTGATCGAAAGTCAAACTCTCCTCATTAGATCTATTTTGACACACTGTGTTGGTTTTTAATCCTTCAGTCCTTTTGGTTTTTTTGCATTTTTTTCAGTACATTTTCATTAAATTCTTTTGTGTCCTTTTTTTTTATTGAAGTCAAATATTGGTGTCTGAGTTCTTATTAAGTCAGTTTCCTGCGACCTTTTCCCCAAAGATCCTTGGTTTAGTTGGAGTTTTTTTGTTGTTTTGTGAGTTCCCACATAGTGTGCCATATTTCCCTGTTACGTGTAAATACACATACTCAATGCCATCCACACTGTCAAAATTAATGGACAGGTATTGTCAAGCTTGAAATATGAAGGAATTCTATGGTGTGATATGGACACTTTGGGCCTCTCCTTCAAATCAAAAGGCAATAAGCCTTTTGTGAGTTAAATTGGAACAAAATCTGGCACACCGAGTTCTTTAAATTCACGTGAACGTAACAATTGGCATTCTCCATACTAAAGCCACTGTTGTTATACCTCATGATTCGGTGCAAGCTTTTCCTTAGTTACATAAGAGATGCATTGCAACAACACACTGTTCTCAACAGAAAAGAAGGGCACAAAGGAACCAGGCCACTCCACAGGTTGCTAAGCGAAAGCTTGCTACGAATCACAAGGTATAGCAACAGTGTCTTTAGTCTGGGGAATTCAAATTGTTATTTTTATGTGCAATCAGATAACTCAGTGTACCAGATTTTATTCAAATTTAACTCGCAAATGACTTATTGCATTGATTGAGTTTCTGCTTGTGGAAACTTAATTGCACCTTACACGTACTTGTATTTACATTTGTAAAAGAATGGGCTACTACATGTAAGCTCGGTTTGATAGGATTGACATTGGGCTTGCGGTAGTTCTCATTTGAGCAGTTTTTTTCTGTGTAACGTGTCAGTGTTGGCCGTATGACATATGTCTAGCGGATTGATCTCGGTTGATATTTGGCTTAGCATGCACATTTACTCATTGCTGCAGTGTGTTAGTCACTGGGAGCGGAAGGGGGGGGCACTTTTTGGTGGGGACCTGTTCCCCCTCCTACTTGCAGGTCCTATAATTGGGTGGGGCTCAAGAGAGTGAGCCCTAAATGGCTGATGCCTGATGGTCTAACAAGTGTTCCGCCGCCGGTGGTGTTAGCACAAATACCAAGTACTTCCTGTACCTTTGTGAAGTAGGACCTTAGTCTAATCCTATCTAAAAAGGTTTGGTTGGTTGGTTAAAGTATGTTTTTTCCTGTTCAATCCATCAGGTGTTTGACTGTGAGTTCTTCCCAGGCACTATCCGATACATCCACTCGGGGTCTCCGCTTCTCGACCAGGACATCATCAAGCTCCGTGCCTACATGCTGACTCAAACAGACACCATCATCGAGACCTTCTACCTCACTGTCAACGTGACCCGCGAGCCCTACCACGTGGTCCGCCCCATGATGAACATTGAAGTGGACGAGTTCAACGGGATCTCGGACCCCATCGACATGCGCATCCTGGACTTTGACTTCAACCGCTCGTCGGAGGCCGTCTCCTGCTTTGTGCGCGTGGACACGCTGGCCAGTGGGCTGCCGCGGTACGGCCACCTGATCCGCGGGGAAGGGGATGACGCCCGCGATGTCAGGGTGCTATACGAGAACTGCGACGACTTCCTGTACCTCAACCTGCACTACCAGCACGTCTTGCCCCCGTCGCCAAACATGGATTACATCCAGATCACGGTAGAGCTTGACGATCCCCAGAAATACAATCAACCATTCACGGAGCGGCTGTACCTTCCAGTGGACATTGTGCCCGCTTTCGAGAATCAGCATCCTGTGGAGGCGTTCCTGGCGCAGTACATCCTCGACGTGGACCAGTTCATCTTGACGACCATCACCACTGACGTCATGTCTGGATCAGATGACGAAACCCGCGCCAACGATTTGATTTTTTATGTGAGCAAACCTCCAGGCCCAGGTGAGGGCAGTATTGTCCATCTAGATGACCAAAGCAGGCCAATTGAATCCTTTCGCCAGGCTGACCTTGCACGATTGAACATTGCTTACAAAGCTCCAGATCGCAGCTACCCCAGTGTTAGACTGATTGAAATAGAGTTTGTCATCTACGACGACTACTTTGCCAAGAGTGAGCCAATAACATTAACGGTTGCCGTTCATCCCACGCAGACCAATGCCCCGAGAGTGTCCGTCAACCGTGGGCTGACATTGTTGGAGGGGCAATCCCGTCCGATCCGCCCAGAAAATTTTGAGGTTGTGGACAACGACAATCTTGGCATGGTCAGAATAAAAGTTGTTGGCGGCCCCCATCATGGCAGAATGCTCTTAAACAATCGTCCAATGATCATGTTCACTCCCCGCGACATCACTGCAGGCTCAGTAGTGTACCGTCACGATGACAGCGACACATTAAAAGACAGCGTCGAGCTGCGAATCACGGATATGACTCACACAGTCCACACGTCCTTCCCCATCAACATCCTCCCGAATGATGACAGCGCCCCAACGCTCATACGCAACATCCAGATTGAGGTCAATGAGGGTCAAGCGGTGCGCATCACCCGCTTCACCCTTCTTGCTGCCGACAAGGATTCCAACGACGATTTTATTGTGTACAGGATCACAAACCCTCCGATTGCTGGGGAAATCTTAAAGAAGTACTCGGCAGACAGCTTTGGTTACCCAGTCACTGACTTCACTCAGAGAGATCTCTTCCGAGGCATGATCTACTACCACCACCTTGGCCAGGAGCAGTTCATGGACTCCTTCGACATCGTCCTCCTGGACAACCACATCCCACCCAACGTTTCCCCGACCCAGGTAGTCTTGGTCAGCATCTCCCCTGTCCACGACCTCCCACCAGAAGTCTCACCCAAGGCCACCAGGTCCCTCACTGTCCTGGAGACGGAGATTGCCTTCATCACGCGGGAGCATCTCCGGTACACTGACGCAGAATCGGATGATGCAGACTTACGCTACACCATCACCACCCCACCCTACGTGGCTGCCACACACAGCCTGACGGGCGCCGGCCGGATTTTCTCCACCACGGGCGTGGTCATGCCCATGAAAGACCCCACCATCCCAGCAGTTCGTACCTTCCAGCAGCGCGACATTGACCACCACACCATTGCTTACATGCCTCCATTTAAAGAAATTGGTCCCGACCCTCGTGAAATCAGATTCTTATTTTCTGTCTCGGACCTGTACGGAAACGTCGTTCTTGGACAGGCATTTGACATAACCGTTCTTCCTGTCAACAACCAACCACCTGTGATCTTCACCAATAACTTAATGGTTCCCGAAGGAGGAATACTGAGGATATTACCCACCCACTTTATGATCACCGACATGGACACGTCAGTGAACGATCTTGTGATCACGCTGATGTCCTTGCCCCAATACGGAGTGCTTGTCGTTGGGAACGTCAATCTAACCGAAGGTGGCACATTCACGGTTGCAGATCTCAGCAGCGGCAGAGTGAGGTACCGTATCCAAATAAAAAAGTTCATTTTTTTTTTCAAAGTTAGCTAACGTTACGAAATGTTTAGCCAAAAATAATCCTACCCACAAGCGTCAGCGATTGAACATTCAGCCAAAAGCTCAGTAAACTATCTTTTCCGTCCCCGGGCTAGCGTTGGAGAAAATTCCTTGTTCGCATTCAAAAGCAGCAAAAATCTTTGGGTGGGGGGGGTTAAATGTGAAAGTAGGTTCAATTTCATTTTTCTACTGACGGTGCCCTTTTGGGGCCTCGTAATACCAGTAATTGATTGCACACCAACATGTACCTTGCCCAGAAACTTGCTGGCATTTATACACATGGCATTTCCATTGGAGGAAAACGGATTACCTGCTTAGTTAGCGCCAAGTTATCGTTACCACTGCTGACGTGTAATTTCCCTACTGTGCAATCATTGTTCCCACATGTCCGTAGAACGGAACACAATCTGAGCATGGGATTGTGGTTTCACGGTTTACCGCAAAGTCAGGATAGTTCTTTCAGTCTTACGTTAAGTGTGATGCCAAAGTGTGCTGAGAATTTCAGAGGATTGAGGATTTTGTACATGCATGTTTTGGGATGAAATTTTCTGATAAAGGATGACACTGAAGATAACATGAACACCAAATTTTCATCGAACCTTTTATTAGATAACCTGAAATAGAGAGATGAAATAATGAACTCGCCTAGGTTTAATAAGTGTATTACAGAAAATTGGATAAAGGGGATCGGAACATGTACATATAAGTTACCTTTTGTTCCAGCTAGGGCAAATTCATAGACACTCTAAAATATCTAACAAAAGGAGTACGGTGCACTAACAATGGATGCTCATTGTTAGTGCACTGTGTTTCTTTTGTTAGATGTTTGTAGTGAGAGTTGCTTAACACAGAAATCAGGTAAGCAAAGAATTTTTTGCTTTACCAAAAAATCAAATTCCCAGCAAAATTGTTATCCACGCATTCGCCCTTTGTATCTCTTGTATTTGGTTCTCCTCTGACTTTGTCTTTTAATGCAACTTCAGTTGGCTGAGCAGTATTTTGCTTAGTCATGCTGTGAAATAAGGCCAAGATTAAAATGAATATTTATGTACCGCAGCATGTGACCAGAGGGAAGCCACAAATTTTGCCCTTTTCAGCCAGTGAACATACATGAGAGCATTTTTAAGTAATCAAATTCTGTTAATGCACTAGGGCAAAACAGTTCTTTTTTCAATGGGGTAGATTCGGGAAACGGAAAAAATTGCACAAACAAGGGAGAAATGCTGCTAACATGAGTAGCTGCCTGTGGTGCATTTTGGGTCAGATGGCAGATGAACTTTAATGAAACTTTTCTCTGTTAGGTATGTCCATGGTGGATCTGAAGTTCCAACTGATGGCTTCAAAGTGGCTGTGTCAGATGGCGTCCACACCGTCTCCCGTAACGTTATTGTGAGTGTGTCCCCCGTGAACGACCAACTCCCAGAGATCTTGCCAGGCCTAATAACAAGCCTGACTATTGCAGAGGGAGGGGAGGTAGCAATCACATCGGATGTCTTGGCCGCAACGGACGTGGACACCAACGACCTGCTGCTACATTTCATTGTAGTCCAGCATCCCAGGAGAGGGGTGGTGCTGCGGAATGGGATCATCGTCAACCGCTTCACACAGCAGGATGTCCAGCGGGGCAGCATCAGCTATGTGCACATGGGCGGTGAGACGGGCAAAGTCCCAGTCCAGGACTCTGTCAGCTTTGTGGTCTCGGACAAGACAATCCCCTCTTCCCCCGACCTGCCCGTACACGAAATCCAGATCACCATCACGCCTGTTGACAACCAAGCTCCGGGGATCGTCTTCGGGAATCCCTTCTTTGTCAGCGAGGGCAGCAAGGCACCGCTGACTCTCGACGTCCTGAGTGCCATCGATCGTGACTCTGACCTCAATCAGCTGACCTTTCACATCGTTGGCCAGCCGCAGTGGGGGCTGGTTGAGAACATCCTGCCAAGCCCCGGATACGAAAAGAGTAACGCTGGCAAGCCCATAGTCTTCTTCCGTTACCAGGATATAGTCAATGGAAACATCAACTACGTCCAGTTAAATCACTCTGGCATCGAACCCATGGCAGATTCGTTCATCCTGTATGTCTCAGATGGGGAACACCCCTCTCCAAATGTGTCCTTCATCGTGAACATAATCCCCGTGAATGACGAAGTGCCAGTTCTGACAGTGCAGAACTTCACCGTCTATGAGAACTCTTTCTTCAAGCTCAGCACTGACTACGTTACGGCCAGTGATGCTGATATCCCCATGGAGATGCTGATGTTCTCGGTCGTCAAGTCCCCAAAACATGGGAGCCTGGTGGACTGGGCCTTACCAGCTGAATCCCGCCTTCCTATCTTTGATTTCAACCTCAACCAACTCCTGAACACGCTGCGCCTCACATACCTTCATGACGGCTCAGAGAGCAACAGTGACAATTTTGCCATACGGGTCACAGACGGGAAGCACACAGTGCGCAAGTCAATCTTCGTCACAATCACTCCTGTCAATGACGAAGCTCCAGAGATCATCAAAAATGCTGGCATCACACTAGACATAAGGGAGAGCCGCATCATCTCACCAGTCATCCTTCTTACAACGGACAGAGACACAACCGCTGACGAGCTCTATTACAGCATTTTGACCCTCCCACGAAGAGGTGTTCTCCAGCGTAAGCTCCCGGACAACACCTGGAGGGACATAACTGCACTAAGCTCCAACTTCACCCAGGAAGACTTGGACCTGAACCTCATCCGCTACCTCCACACCTCAGAGTTAGGCTCTAAAGGCCTGGACCGGTTCCGCTTTTCTGTCACGGATGGTGTCCACACCACTGGCAAGCAGAGCTTTCGCATTGAGATCACTAACACAAAACGGGAGCCACTGCAGCTGATCAACACGGGCATTGAGGTCCTGGAGGGAGAATTTGTCATCATAGCCCCAGAGAGCCTGGCAGCATTCGACAATGGCAACAACCTGGCCGAGATCTTATTCAGGGTGAACAGCCCTCCCACAGAGGGACAGCTGGAGGATATATCCCGGCCCGGAGTCCCCATCTCCTCTTTCTCCCAGATGGCCCTCGTGGGGCAGCGGGTCATTTACGTTCACAAGCGGACGGACCGCATCCGCAATGACAACTTCATGTTCAGTGTGACCAACGGGTACCAGACACGAAACGACACTTTCCACATTGTGGTCATACCAGTTGACAACTCCCTCCCTGTCCTGATCATCAACGAGCCCCTTGTGGTTCCCGAGGGAGGCTTCCAAGTGATTCCGCCCTCCAATCTGGAAGCAATCGACCAGGACACCCCACCACACATAGTGACATTCATCATCATGCAACCCCCGCAGTTCGGACATCTCATTCTGGCTGGGATGCCAATCACCGATCAGTTCACTCAACACGATCTCAACAACTACGATCTATCCTACCAGCATGCCCCTAACCTCGGACAAACTGATGCTGATTGCTTCTACTTCGTCGTCACCGACAACACCAACGAGGGCTTCCTCATCAGGGACTCTGTCGTGACTCATCCCGTGAAATTCACCATCAGCATCGACCGGATGGACAGCGATCCACCGCGGCTGATCACCAATGAGATTCCAATCAAGATGGAGTCCCGTAACGGACGCTACGCCTTCATCCTGAGCCAGCAGACCCTCTATGCAGAAGACCAATGCACTGCAGACGGAATCACTTTCACGATCACGCGCGAGCCACAGCATGGCTACCTTGAGAACCTGGCCACAAGGCAGAGGGTGAAGGGACAGTTCACCCAGCATGAGGTCAATGATCGCAGCATCATGTACATCATGAGGGAGAACATCCACGTCAACAATGACAACTTCACCTTCTCAGTTTATGACTGCAATGGAAATGCACTGATGGGCCAAAGGTACGAAGAACAGTTTTTTCTAAACAAATTACCTGCCAACCAAATAGTAATCATTTGAAATCAAGTCCGGTGATATTTCCGTGACAAATAACAAAGGTCAGATGTAATGGACACAAAAATGGCACACTTTTGAACCCCTAATTTCTGGTGTTACCCATATACGTGTACTTGTATTAGTTTTATAAAGTCGCTAGGTACAAATTTACTAAGTAAAAAAAAACCTTGAGCAATAAACCAGGTTCCAGCCCAAAATGCATGTAGAGTATATTGCTTGTAACCAGCTCTCTGCCTATTTTTGCTTATCACTTAAATTTGTTTATTGTATTTTTGCCATCCAGTCTGGTTATGCTATACTTACATTGTATCTGACCCTCTGCTTCAGATCTTCTGAAATTGCTCATCAAATTTTTAAAATTATGCTTACAGAACTATCTGCCAGGGTTCTTTGCATTCGCTGTGTATTCACAGCTGGTCACTCATGAGTTGAACAAATAACTTGTCCAGTAGAGGTTGAGAGGAGTATGCCGTATTTTTTGCTAAATGAAATGAATTGAAGTTTAAGCAGATTTACCCCACCTCCAAAAATGGAAAGTTTGAAGTATATGTTGAAACAAATCTTTACAGTTGTGACCCGCTCTGTGAAAATGAGTCATAAGGCCTTGGGGGGGTAGTTACATTTATCAGTAACTTTGTATCAGTTTGCATTGGAAAGAGCAAACTGATCATTTTTTGTTGATGTATCACTCGTTAATTTTGGCATCTTGATGGCATCCTGCCTTCTGGGGCTCACACTGAGTATACAGTGGTATAATACACGTCGGGCAGGGCTAAAATCCAAATTTAGAAAAACTTAATCAAAGAAAGTGTTTCTGGCATATTACTAATTTGCTGGTGGTGGGGGTTCTCATTTTACCTTACTTTTGAGAGTACAATATGTCTATCAACAGATTTGAATTCCGCTGGCCACTTGTCCAGTTCACGCGCAGCGACTACATGGTATGCGAGACAGTTGGCACCCTACAGATCAACGTCATGCGTGCTGGCTTCCACGCCCTCTCCTCCTTTGTCGACATAGAGGTGAGTGACCTGACGGCCATCACGGGCCAGGACTACTCCCCGCCCCGGGCCCGGCAGCTCCAGTTCGACCCAGGGGTCACAATGGCGACCTGGAACGTCGACATCATCGCCGACGAGTTGGAGGAGAACCGGGAGCGGTTCCGTCTGACGTTGACCTCTCCAGTGAATGCTGTGTTGGGGGAGCACGACCGACTGACGGTTATCATCAAGGACTCCAAAGATGGTAATGTTCAACCATCAAAGCCTTGAAATACATTGTATTACATTATATTTATTAACCCAGAGATTCGTCAGAGTTCTTCCGGTAATTGTGGACTGTATAGAGAGAATAGCAAGCTCGAAATTTTTTAACTGGTACATTGTCCTTGGTGCACCAATTTCCAGGTGCACTAATTAAGAGAAAGTATTAAATAACGCAATATTTACGTGCATGTATTGATTTCCAATCAATACCTGATGGACATTCAGTGTGCTTTACACCATATTACCCCTGCTCACTGGGCCCAGGAACAATCCCATAAGCCAACTCAGCTCCCATGGGAGTCTGACTACAGCCGTCAGTGTGACGATTCCAGGTGCTACCTGTAATAAATTTGCTTGCAGGCAGAGTTTCCTCGCCCTGAAAAAATTGGAGGGAATAAACTTGTACATACATGTATGTTACGTTATCTTTGTTGTACACTTCAGTAGTACTGGTACCAACTATGTCATCTTTAGCTTTTCATGTCCAATTGTCATGGGATCTAATGGTCCAGTGATCAGTTGTAGTAAATTATGACATATTCTGTGAGAGCGAATGGTGGCATAATTTGTTGTTGATAGATGTATGTTTTTCCACAGCATATTATACTTCTGAGTATGCTTTGATGACAGTTTTGGCCGTTAAGCACTCCGAGTAAAAGCTTGTAATGTTTTGTTGAAATGTTGTCTCCTAGGTGCTTGTAAAGGTGAGAACAATGGAATGACCATCACAGATACCCTTCCGTCTTGCTGCCCTGGCCAAGGAGCCATCCCTCCAGAAGGCCTGCCGTCTTGCTGCCCAGACCAAGGGCCAGGGCTCCCCTACCCAGGCCCCATCATCCCCCAACAGAATCCCGGCATACCTGGTGAAGAACCCCTCAGCTACCCGCCCAAGCCAGGGGATGGGGGTCAACCCCCGAATTACCAGTCTGTACCTGGACCACATCCTTTGCCTGAGGGTTACCCGCCTCAGGGGGCGCCTTACGGAGGGGATTTTGTACCAGGAAATCCAGATCAAGGATTTGTCTATCCGGGAGAAGGCCATGATTTCGTGCCAGGTCCTGGGGTAGAGTGTTGTCCACCCGACCTTGTTCCAGGACAGGGGGACACAGGTCATCCCTATCCTCCACAGCCAGATCCAAGGCATGGCTCTTACCAACCACAGCAGCCAGGTGCCGACTTTAACCCTCGTGGCCCGTTGGTTTACCCGGCAGACCCAGGGACTTACCCACAGGGTTCAGGAGTGTACCCACAAAACCCAGGTGGCTACCCAGCAAACCCAGAGGTTTACCCCCAGAATCCTGCACTGTACCCCCAAGATCCTTCAGTGCACCCTCAAGACTCTGGTTCAGATCCACAGTACCCTGCCAACCACCAACATGGGCAGTGGAACCCAGGTTTCCCCAGCAGCAGGGGACAGTACCCGGCTGGCAGCCATGGTGGAGGTGTACCACCCAGAACATATCCGGATGGGTCACAGCCTCCTCTAACCGATGCCCAAGGGCAGCCAGTCTGGCCCTGGTACAGCAGAGACAGAGAGCCATACTATCCCAGTCAAGGGGGTGATACCACCTCTGCCACCCAGGGAGGTCCCTACCCAGGTCCTGGAGGGCCTCACTATCAAGGCCAGGAAGCCATTAACCCCAGTGCTCATGGTGGTCCTTCCTACCATCAAGGAGACGGTGATCCCCAGTACCCAGCACAGGCAGGTTCTGTTCCTCACTATCCACAAGGCCAGGGTTGGAATCGTCAGCATCCGCCCTCGGCTGGGGTCAACCACCAGCCCAGCCCTGGAGATCCTTACTACCCCGGAGACCCTAGACAATATCCGTACCAGCAAGCTGCAGGACGCAACCCCTACGGCCATTCTGGTAGCCAGGGCCCCAATCCACGGTTCCGACCATCAGGACAGACCTTCCAGTCGGCCAGCAGAGCTCCGGTTTACGCTGGTCAGGACCCCAACCCCAGTCCTGTCAGCAGTAGGCCCCAAGGACCAGGCGGGGTGGCCAACGGACAAAGCATCCAGTCCAGGCCGGGTGAGAAGGTGCAAGGCCAGCCAGTGGAAGTATGGACCAATGGTTCAACAACCATCTGGACAGTAAGTTAGGCCGGAATGCATGCGAGTCTTGCCAACACCACAAATATTAGCATCAGATTCAAAAACATTTAGGTCTCTCTCATGAGTCAGCATTCTTTAATGTTGAAACTCTCTTGGATTATTTCAGGCCAATTTCTTTTGTTTCTTCTTTTGGTTGTATACAAGGAATTGTTTGAAAGAGACAGTACAAAGATTCAGGGTTCACCTTAAATGGGCTTTTCTTGAAATGCCCAGACAGCCCCCTTGCTTTTATGTACACGTAGCTGGTATCGTTATGAAGGGAATAAATATGTGCTTATTGATTCCAATTCATAAATACCTTTTTAGTCAGAGTCAAAAGAATTCTATACATGATGGATTTTCAATAACTGCTGGACAAGGTTACTTAGCTAAATTCTGCTGGCAGCCCGCTACAGGCAGTGCATATTGCCTGATGATTTGGTCCGTAGCCCGCTGTTGCCACCCACACATTATTTGTACTTAACCAGTGTCCATTCCGTAAGATTGGTCCAGGATCCACTGAGCTCTCTTTCTCTCTCTTTTCATCTGTGCATCCAGCTGCACGGGATAGCATCTGCCCCGACGGTCGTCCAAGGTCACTCCCCGTCCTCTCCTTCATCCTCGGGGTCTTCATCCCACCAGCTCCAGCCATTCCCTGCCGTGGTGCAGGGCCGACCCGGTGCTCCCGCTGGACCCGGGCCGATCACGCGGCCCTCCGGTGGGCCAGTACCCAGTGGTGGGCCTGCACCCAGTTTGGGGCCTGTGCCCGACGGCGGGCGATCGCCCAATCATAGGGGCGTGACCGAAGCACCTCCAGCTCGAGAGCCGGTCCAGCCGAGGGAGGAAGCAATACCTCCTGATCAATCCGTAAGCTCAGAAAATGTTTCACTGTACCTGACCAGTGTACAAGCTACAGTAAATTTCCTCTCAGTGCCCCCTTGGAAAAATGTTGGCACCCTGTTTGCCGCCCAAAATGCTTTATGTACATATATGTGAGCAACACTGGGATTTAAAGTTGATTCCAAAAGCTTTTTTTTTTGTTTCCATTGTATAGCTGCAGCCGCCACCAGGCTGCACAATGACCAGCAAGGACGATTTTCTGGTGGAGGAGGCCACCGGTGCCCTGTACAAGTGCAACGGGAACCAGTGGGTCCGGGTGGAGTGGAGTCACATCCAGGCGGACGACGCAGCCAATCAGGATGCAGGATGCAGGGAAGGTGAGAAAGAAATGACCAATAGTGTATGGTACAGATTCGACCTTGAAGCTCACACCTTTAAGGTAAAAAGAAGACCTTTTGCAGAAGTAACTTGCAGTACTGCTGCAGTGACCCAAAACAGATTGCTTTAATTTGTGAGTTTGTCTATTTCAGGAGAATAAGAAACAGGAAAACAATTTAGCCTTCTATTAAGTTTAGTTGGTTTTTGCCTAAAAGTGATGGAAAAATCAGTTGAAAGAGCTAAACAGCAAAATTACTTCTTTGAAATTGAAAACTCTTTAAAGATGAGATTAATTACAAACTCGGAAGGACAGCAAGACAGCATGCATTATTCCAACTTTCATCAAAGTCTGGTATAGGTCATTTTTTAAAACTGCTTGGTTGCGATCCAGGTGTACACAATTTGTCTAAATGCAACCAAGGCTCAACTTCAACAATAAGCACAGCACAAGCACAAACCAAGCACAGCTGCTTTTGCTGCAATCGTTGGACTGTTTTGCAACTAGAACAAGAAATGTGGGGGGGGGGTTGGCGAAGACAAATATGAAAATGACAACCAACGGGGGCGTTGCAACCAAGATATCTGAAATGATTGCGTGCTTTCCTTGGATGTAGGCTGGCATGAGTTAGATGGTATGTGTTACCTGCTGGCCACAGAACCTGAAACGTGGGACAGTGCGCAGAGAATCTGCAGAGAGAGGTAAGTCCACAGAAAGGAAATATCCCAATTGGCCATGGGGGGGTTACACCCTATCAAGTCGGCATGGGTACGTTCAGACATGGAATAAGTTGATCCAAATTTAATTAAATTTGGGCTGAGTTTAGATAAGAAGAGCATAATCCACAATATGCTCTCATTAAGACGACGGAGTTACGCCAGCACCACCCGGTGTACCAAACCAAACAGTGGCTCCAGTTGACCCACTGCGGTTATGCAACGTTTACACACCTCCAGACCTAATGGAAGTTCAAGGAAAGCCCGCTGGCGGGAGAAATGAAGCATCGGAATACCTTTCCTTCCTCCATGCATCAACGCAAGTAACCAGCAGCTAGGTCGGCTGTCAAAAATACTAGTGCTTGAGCTTGCTTATTCAAGATGGCACGTCCATGCAGACAATGCATATCACGGTTTGCTTCAGTGTTTAAGTAAAAATACGGCTCATTGTACCAGCATGGAGATGTAAAGCACGGAGCGAAATTGAGCATCAACTTTTAGCGTAGAGCTGAGTTAAGTCTGCAAGTCAGGTGCCCAAACCAAAACCCCTTGCAACTTTATTCATCTTGGAAAGAGTCTAGACAGCAACTAGCTCATGCGAGGGCTTTCGTATCAGAAACTGTGATTAAAAATGGCATTCAGTGGGTGTGTATAAAGTGGGTACGTCCCCTCTGCCTCGTGCATATGTGGATATAAATGTAACTTCTTTTGCACGGTATTTCATTTGTCATGTAAGTTAAGACATTTTGCAGGCGATCAAAACACTTGAATTATTCAACGGTATTTTTAGCCCTAACACTCCTCAATCCTTCACCTGTTGGAGGACTGATGAGGAGTGTTAGGGTTAAGTCCATTCAGTGTAAAATATATGCATGTGTCTCCATCCAGTACGCTGCATGCGCGAAGGACCCGTAGCCTATGCATCGGGTCAAATTGAATGCTCTACGCCTGCAAGTAAGGACAGTTTGGTCCACGTGTTATTTTGCTGTTTGTCACCGCGGGAGGGAGATCGTTATCTTTGGCGCAACTTACACTGATCCACCGATTTTTGGGGGTCCAAATTGCGCCAACTTGGTGTAATTTACGCCACCTCAGGTGGATAAGAGCATTCCAACAGAGGGGTGACTTAATATTTTCAGATCAACCCTTATTTGACATCTTGTCTGAACGTATCCCATGGTTCATCAGCATTGTGGAGACTATCTCCGGTTTGCAAACTGACACGCAAAGGATCAGCTTCCAAGCTGTAATTTATGCAGTTAATTTTCAACTTCATTGTCACTAAGTCTACTCCAGTTTTGGGTCACTGTTATATTTTATTCTTTCTTTCCAAGTTACCAAGGCAACCTTGTGACAGTGTCAAGCAGTAAAATTTACAACTGGATTCGTTCGCTGGTTGAGAAACACGAAATTTGGATAGGTAAGACTCCAAAAGAACATGAAAATCCCTGATAATGACCGTCTTTGGCATTCCTGAGTCATTTAAGCATGATTTGCAAAGGTGTAATCATGTAAGAAATTGCTTGAACTCGACTGTCGTTATCCACCTTTACGAAAGTATTCTGAAAACTAACCAGACTTTTAAAGATTCTCCATCCTGTCACTTTTGCATTTTTAAAGGCTTAAACAACAAGCATGCTGTAGGCCAATGGGAGTGGATCTCTGGTGACCCTGTGACCTTCACCCGTTGGAAGGTGGGCTCACCGGCGCCCAACACCCACGGCAATCGCAACTGCGTCGCACAGAACAGCCGCGCCAGGTGGATTGAGAAAAAATGCAGGAACAACCGACAGCTGTACATGTGCGAGAAGCAGTTACGATGATGAAGGGCCAGGGTTCATGTTTAAGCGTTCGCAGATATGTTTGGTATTAGACTGAAAAAATTTAAGGAAATCAGGCAAGACAGAAAGAGCCATCCTTCCTTCTCAATACAGAATAAAAGAAGTGAATTCTTCTCCAGATCAGGCCTTCATATAGGCAAAGTTTCAATCTGGTTCATAATTCCTCGCACGCTTGGCTGAAATGACACTCAGTCACTCACAGAAGCTTCAAGTGAGAAACGGGATATTCAAGGCTTGTAGGCGAGTCCTTCCTTAAATCCCTTAGTCAAAGGATTCTACTACAAAACTGAATTTAAAATAATTTCATGGGTGCAGTTGATTCTGTCAACATAGAAGCACTTTTGCTTCTTCAAATTTTGTTTAACATGGTGCTAAACTTTTTAAAGATTAAAAAGCAAAATTGAAATAAGTAATCTTGAAGTAAGTACGCTCGTGATATTTGCTTTTATTCATTGGAACAAGCATTATGACGAGGAAACTGGTACCTTTACAAAAAATCTGAAGACTGTAATTTCCAACGGAGACTTACGGTACATTATATTTATAGAGTTAAATGGATTGTCTTTCAAAAATGTTGGGCGTTCTTTGTTTGTTTTTTTTCTTCAGTGACCTTTTGCCTCGCCCTTCCGACATGTCCAAAGAAGACCTCATTTGTTTCACAGACATTGTGGAAGTCACACTGCCTTGTGGCAGTGGTCGGAATTGGCCATGTAATAACCACGTGGCCCTTTCACATCAATTGGCTGTAGGCCGCCACAGTTGCACCTTTAATGTGCTGCGTATCACTGCTACTCAGGTTAATTAGCAGTGGCCGCGATTATCCACTCAAGCCATTCAGATTCACTTCAGCATGATTATATCAACTTAGTCCATTGAAAATTTGACGTAAGAAAACCATGAAATCTTGGCAAACGGATAGTTTTTAGAAGAAATTATTCTTGGATATAAGGGAATAACCACTTACGGCGTCTCCAGTTGTCACCACAAGGGCAAGTAGGGTTGTTTGTGCATTGCGCATGTATGTGTGGGAAAGATTGGGGAAGTGTCGTTAGCTTGAAATCCGAATAACTGTTGGGTTTTTTTTTTCATTCCCCTGAGATTTGAGATATCAAGAGTTTACGATAAGTTTATGATAATCACCAACAATACACCCTCAGTAGCTTACCAGGTTGAAGGTGTCCTTCCTTGATCAATTTTTTTTTCTTCATATTTTTAGAGAGATAACTTGTCCTTTGTCCATTTGTCTTATTTACTCTCTCAAGTGCCTTTTTAAATGTCCAAGGACACAAATAATCACTAGAATATGTGCCTTTGTCCTGTAGACATGCTTATCTCCTAAGTTTTGAATGATTTCTCCCTCTTTTATAAAAGGCTGCATCTCCTCCGCTTTTTTCAAGTGGTAGACTTGCACAGCCACTGAAAGTAACCTGCTCCATATCACTCAACATCCAGCTTACATTGCAACATCTGAAATGTTGTAACTGCAGGAAAAAGTGTACTTTTCTTGTTAACCTATAGATTTATTTTAGAGACTGTACATGTATTAAGAGTAATAGAATGCAGTAGGTTATTTGAACAAATCCATACAGCAAGGTATGGAAGATTTTACAGTTGAAGATATTGGCCCTTTTTACATAGTATAACGATTAAAATGTTACTTTAATGTCATTTGTAGAGTTGAAATTCATGTATTTATCTTATTTAAGGAGCTTCCATATTGTCATTGTGTTTTGAAGTTGACATAGTGTGAAAATGCAACTTGCCTAAGGCCAAAACTAAACGGCGAATGGGATATCTGTTTGCTTTTTTTTCTTTTTAGCTAAATTCAAGATTTTATCTTGTGGACTTTTCACACTGATGAAGGCTTTCTTTTCATCAGGGTCTTGTGAACAAATCTAGCCACAGATGTAGCCTCAGCTGTTGTACCTCATTCACAGTTAGGCATTGCTACACCTAGCATTCGTGTTTGGTATGTTAGGCTATGAGCGATGAAGTCCTGGCCAACGTTGTAGCTGAAGTATTTTGCCTTTTACTCCAAAGTAGAGACATACTCATTTATTTGTGTAAACTTAATTTGTTACGGAACACAAATAAACTTCAAGCCGGAAAACAGTTTTTCAAAGTGTGACCTGCTGTGTCCCACTGTAAACCTTTGAAAAAAGAGAGACGAGTACTTCCCAACTGGCAGGAAACTTACATGCAATACAATGTACATTTCTAATCGTCAAACTACTGATAGATTTGATTCGCTTTGCAACGGTGTGTCCCCATTCCTAACTCAGAACAAGTAAGAAATTGTAGAAGTTGCTCAGAGTTGCAAACATCTGATAATAAATCACAGTGGACGTGCCCAGCATGCGACCACTTTGTGAATGAATGTAAATACATGCAGCACATGTCAGATGACTGCCTTTACTGGTGGTTAAGAGAATGATGCACAGTGTATTGTGGCATCATTATACATGTACACCCCCCAAATACAATACATGTACTCCGTGTTTGATCACGAGCCGGGGGGGGGCAGCAAAGCACCGAAGCCCCCCCCCGGAATATTTTCCGGATCTACCCTTCATGAGAATAACAAACATTTCTATAAGCTTTTAAGAAATAAGTTTTAAAGCAACAACAATGCATTTCACTAAATGGCTCAGCAACTACAGTACAACATGTGGACTTGTTAATGATGCTTAAGTGCATGAAATGTGGGAACCATACAGTCCAGGGTGCAGACTTGTGTGGGTTTATGCAAGTGTAGTGTAGACAGCACTCTCAAAATTCCCCAGCTCTATTAATAGACCAGGTCATGTTACTGAATGATTCTATGTTAGCCAAGTGCCATCTTTATGGGATCGGCCTCTTTAAGCCTACTGCTTGCACTGCACTTGTCGCATACATGTACGTTGTACAGGTGGAAAATTACTGACTCTATTTTTCACAGATTGAGTGTACGGGAAAGTGTTTTACTGAAACGTCAAAGTAGTAGGTAAGATATTCAGAGTTGTTTTCGGAGGTATAGAAGTTAAGATAAAAACTGATGGAATTTTTCAATACCAGGTATCAAAACCAGAGGCATTGTACTTTCTTTTAACGGACTTGTCACTAAGTCTCCAGTAGTAGTGGTCTTAAAGAAATCTGTACAGTCAAATGACGGGGTACATGACTGTTCTTTTGTTGTCTATTTAGCTACATTTAGAGAACATGAAGGTGTTTGATCAGATTTGAAGGGAAAAACATTTCACGGAGTGAAACGGTCATAATTTTGTAAAGTAATTTGCCAGTCCATTTTCTGTCCAAACTTTATTTGTATACAGTAACAATGGCAAGTGCTCTTGAGAAGATCAGTCAGCATCTTGAATGTGGAATTTGCCAGGACAGGCTCAAACAACCAAAGGTTCTCAACTGCTTGCACAGTTTCTGTCAAGAATGTCTCCAGGATTACTACAAACGCAGATACAAAGAAGCTCCAGAGATTCCTTGCCCTGTGTGCCGGCGGGTGACAGCACTACCAGAGACACGCATCCAAGGCCTGAAAACAAACTTTCATTTGATGGGAATCACTGAAGAGATCTCTGAGCAGGAATAAGTGGCACGTTCAGAGAGTACGAAGGTCAGCTGCGAGTTGTGTGAAGAGGAAAACGAAGCTACACATCGCTGCTTAGACTGCGACAAAATGTTTGCCCAAACTGTCGCAAGACGCACCTGCGATGTGTCGCTACATCAAACCATACAGTGGCGACTTTTGAGGAAATTCGTCAAGGAAAGGTGACCGTGAAAAAATCTGAAAATCACACAAAGTTTAGATGCCAAAAACACGGTGGAGAGGTAAGACGATTCTACTGTGAGACATGTCAAGAGTTGATCTGCCGGGATTGTACTGTTGTTGACCACCGTATACCAAACCATCACTACGTGGACTCTGGAGAGGCTTCTATCAAGTACAAACAATCACTGAAGGATATGTTGCCAGATTTTGATGTGGACATAAAAGTACTTGAACAGTCTTTAGCTGCTTCATCTGAAGCTAAATAGAAATTGGCAAAGAATGTCACAAGGACTGCGAAAGCTGTGAAGCAGAGAGCAGATAGACTTAGAGCTGAGATAGCAACTCAAGAGAAAAAGTTGCTTGATGAAATCAAACAAATTCAACAGGATCGCAACAGAATGTATGACGAGCATCAAGAAAAAGTGAGCAAGCTTCTACAAGGAAAACAACATTCACTGGAAGTGGCCAAAGATGTCACCAGCACTGCTTCAGACAATGACTTCCTGTCCCTCTATCCTGTCATCAGCAAAGATTTGAAATCACTCAAGAGTCGAAACCCTCCCAAGGTGGACGTGTTCCTTTCATATCTGAGTTTCACTCCAGGGCAGTGGACTGACATCAATCTGGGTGAGCTGGAGGAGAAAGGCAGGAAGTGGGAGATGTGCTGCGAGGTTGGCAAAACGGGAGACAGTCCAGGAAACTTCCAGTTGGCTATCAGTGTTGCTGTAGCTCCATCTGGTGAAGTTGCTGTGGCAGACTGTTTGGACAACCAGGTGGTGCTGTGCAGCAGTGAGGGACAACCCAAGGCAAAAATTCCCCTACATTCACGTAAGTTTCTTTGGTGGGCACAGCCACAAACTTAGCTGTGTCAAAACACAAGATGGGATCCATAGGTAAAACTTTAAGGGGCGGGATTTTTTCAGGAGTAGGTTAAACGAACAGATTCCTCTGTGTAATCTTTGTGAGGTATGAAGCTAACTGTTTTTAGCTCTTTGCCCAATGGGGGGGGGGAGAAACTGAAGTATGTAGTCCCCAAAAGTTACCCCCCTTCTTTTGATGTTTAGAAAAAACCAAATGTGGAAGCAGGCTGTGGATGCTGGTGACTCTTGGATCAGCCATTTTAATTCATTTATGTTAATGCGCACATTACTCAAATCGTCAATATGCAGTGCATGACCGAGGGCGTAATCTGAAACACTGCACCACATTTTGTTGATGTTCAATGATCTATTCATAAGGTCACAAGTAACGTAGTAATACTGCTCAGATATCAGCTAAATGTTATTTCTGCTCAAGGTTCCATACACTTACACTTAGCCACTGTCCTGACAAAGGGTTGATGGTTGTTGATATCAAATATAGTTCAGGATGTTCATCAATCATGGAGATTAGCACCAGCGAAAGATAAAAATTGCTTTAAATTCTCCATAAAAAAATTTCCTCCGGTTTTCTTATATCTTTTCTGTCACCCAAGGTCCATACAGAATCACAGCTGTGCACAGTCATGACAATCAATTAGTGGTTGTAGATGACACCAAGTATGTCAAGGTGTTCAATAAGAAGAACAAGCTGGCCTTCCAGTTTCCCACAGTGCCACAGAGTGCGGTTGACAAGACACGAATGAACCTCCGTGGTGTAGCAGTCAGGAAGGATGGTACCATCCTAGTGGGTGATGTGAACAGGATGGTATGGACCGAACACAGTCCCACTGATGGTGCATTGCTCCGCACCATACCAGTGCAGACTCCACCTTGGTTCCTTGCTGTGGATGACCACAACGATAGGGTTGTGGTCAGCGGAGGTGGCAGTCAGAAAGTGGACATTGCTACCAACTATGGCATCACTCTGGCCACCATCAGACCCACTATCAAAGGTCAGCAAGTGCAACTCTGCCATGGTGTTTGCTGCAACAACTCTGGTTTTTGCATTGTGGTGCGCAATGGGCCTAACACTGGCCATGTCCACCACTATGACCTCGATGGCAATTTCCTCATTTGGTGGGCTCAGGGTCTGAGTAATCCATATGGCATCACATTTACACCATATGGGAAGTTTTTAGTTGCTGATAGCTACTCAGTGAAAATGTATCATAAGGTGTGATGCATTCAACAGACTTTGCCTGCATCATCATCCCAACAAACAGTATGTCATCAGTAACAGGCTGAATCAGTCAACTTTCACTGTCCACATATTCCAAATCTGGCTTGAAAACATGCAAACACAACTATAAAAACTTTATTAATAAATTAATATTTAAGATGAATCCTATTGTCTCAGCCCAAACGCTTAAATTGAGGTGTAAAATGTTTTCTTCAGTCTTCATCTTCAGTGAAATGACATCATTTAGTTCATTTAGTCATTCATACATTTTTTCTGAAGGTTAGAAACAGGTGTTTCTTTTCCAGTTATGTCTAAAATTCAGATACATGTACTGTGAATATTTGCATTAATTTGTACACTTCATGATTAAAGTAGTCTATTTTTGACTACCCTTAATTCAGTGACATTTTATGTTATATCTATCTCCTATAATTTGTAAATATATACTTTTAAAATGTGGTTTTATCTATTTTATATTTAGAAACTTGTTCCAATGGATATCCTCAAAATTACATTTGATGTCTTTTTGCACTGATATTAAAGATGTCGAGACACAATTAGGACCAGGTTTTCTTTTTGGAATGCAGCGTACTCATAGTAGCGTATTAGATACTTATTTCGCATTTGAAACTACGCTGTGGCTTACTTGACCTCAACTATTTTTGTCACCAACCTCCCAATGGCCTCTGTTCCATATACGCAGACGGTCGACTGCTCATTCTCTCAGAACCATAAACATTTGAGGGTCAAGAAATGTCAAGTAAAGTAACTGGAGCTGAGCTCTTTTTCTCCTAAATTCTGTAAAACCTTCCAAATATCTTGAGGTATCTGAGACAGCGTCTACTGTTAGTATGCAAGGGGGACCTTTTTTACTCTAACAGTTTCTAGTTTGCTATCAAACCTCCACATTTCATGAATTGATGCAAATGTGAAACTGATAACTGATTCATTGAAAGAAATAATGCTCATTGTTTTTCTTCACTTTTCTGTCTGGACTCATGGGTCCTGGATAATCATATAATTTGTTTTCAAACTAGTCGACTTATTACATTTGTACAGGTTTTGATTTCCATAATTTCAACATCACCTTGTTTTAGATTTATCTTCATTTCTGCTGTAAGATACTTCATTTTGGCAGTTTGTACCTAAGGGCTGAGATCACCAGAAAAAGCCCCGTCATTTTATTCATTACCTGTTTCAATTTTTGTCAAATTGTTCTTTAAGAGACGAGGCTCATTTTGTACCTTTAATTTTCTTTCTGGATTCATGAGTCATTCACAGTGTTATGATTTGTATTTAAACCAATCTACTTATTATACTTCTAGTTTCAATTTTCTTAATATCAACACATTTCCTGCCGTATATTTTATCTTTATTGCTGCTGCATGATAAAAGGATAGCTGCAATCAGTGCTTTATCGACAAAACGTCCAAATGCACCTTTGTATCTCAGTTGACCTTATTTACAAGTTTTGTTTCACCATTTCAAAGGATATTTTACTGCCATTTTGGCTCATGTGCTAATGAGTAGTTTCATGTCCATGAGCAAAACTATGATGTCATCCCAGGAAGAAGCTTCAATGATATAACGCTGGTTTCTACACAAAAATTCCTGCATTCTTGAAGATTTTGCTGGACTCTGGGTTTTTTGCTGATTCGTCGTTGTTTATGTGCAAAGAAATAAGCAAGCATCAATTCCTCTTTCAGAAATGTTTTCATTAAGTAAATTCTGGGTTGACTACATGTATTTGAACTGAAAAGCCCATGCACTGAACTGTGTCTTCCGTAGATGACTTCACAGCAACTGTGCCCTCAGTTGTCCAATAAAGCATGGATATGTTTGTCTTAAAAAGTAAATTTTTAATGCATTAAACCTAAATCGAATGGAAAAGAGTTTTCATACATTGATGTAGAGTACATAGTTGCAGAAATATTGTTTGTAAGAACAATACAAAGTTGAAGATTTTTTTAAAATATTCATTAGTTATTACAGCTACACTATAAATGCTTGTAGTTTGTACATAAATTTGAGCTTAAATCACTACCAAAACCCCCCTGTAATCTAATTCTTTCGTCAGTTGAAAAATTACTCTTTCTTGTAAAATTGTTCTGATTGGGAGTGAAACTTTTGATATTTTAATGAATAGAGACTATCTGAGCCTCTAAATCTATAAGCTACCTTGAGATCCGCACATTTTTAAAAAGTGGAATAATTATTGACAGACGAGTTAACCGAACTTGTTATTCAAAATAGCGTTCAAAGTCTTGTAACTCGTTTTGCCTTCATTGTTTGAGGTTAAGTAACTTTGCTCGAAATTAACGTTAATAATAAAAATGCTTTACTAATTCTGTCTTTGTTGACCGTGGGACGGCTTTTCGTGTTTCACCGAATAAATTACCTGGGGAAAAATCTTGTCTCTTTGCGTTGCCGGATCTTAACATTTACAAATGATAAAGACACCTCGATGCCTAAATATAGTACAACATTAGATCGCTAGATTTAGCCTCGTCGCCAGCATTAGGGGTGGGGCGGGGCTCCTGCTCGCGATCGCAGTTCGAGGGCGCTCTACAACAATAGCGAAAATCACAATCGATCACTAACGTCTTGAGCATACAAAGGCCAAGGTAGCCCTACAGGTTAGACGGATGTGACTAATCAATTATGTTTCAGCCTCAGGGCTGTGTAGCCGTGCGTATCGGCTGGACTCTTTTGAGTATTTTGTACAGCGAAGTTTCTGAGGGCCCTTTCTAATAACGCCAAGTTGGTGAGTAGTGATGTTATTTAATGTATGGAGCGCAGCAGACGACGAACTCTACAAAGGGCAGGTCAGTCTGAGCATGGAGGAAGGAGTGTTATGGTAGGTCTGTCCGTCATGTCCTCGCACGTCACGTTGGAGTCGTTTGCCGCAAGTCTGCATTCTACGACATGGTTGTCTAACTTGTAGGCCTAAGTAGCAATAGCCTTGGGCCTTCCCCTCCCCAGGACTGTTTGGATCGACGTCCACCGCGCTCCCATGCCTTGTACTTTCGCCGACCGTGTCCAAATAAAATATTATTATCAAAGGTGATTTGTAGGCTTCTAGTCATACTCGGACCCGGAGTCTTGTTCAGCGCAATCTCGAACCTTGTGCAAACTTACTGTAATCCATCCAGAGTTGATTTGTCTAAGTTAAATCAACTCAGGACGGAGTAGGCCTACAATGAAATTGTGCAAGGTTCAAGAATCAAGATTGCGCTGAACACCCTGAGTGATAGGGCCCCGAGCAAACGCGTATTGATTTGGGGGGGGCTATGCACAAGCAGTGAAATTTTCTGTCATTTAAATTATAAATAACAGGTGCGTGCAGTGCACCTGTTCTAGCTGCCATGTAGAAATATGACCTGCAGTTTACAACCTGTTGAGCCTGTGTGAACAATTTCAAAAACGGTGGCACCTGGAAATTGGGCAAGCATTTAAATTCAGCTGAGTGTTCCCTAACATGGTGCACTTTGACAGATCTCAGGAAATCCCCCATTAACATAATTTTAGAAGGTCTACAAAGTTTCTTACTAAATATTTGTGCACAGATAACTATGGCTAAAGCTCTTGAAGAGATGAATCATCATCTTGAATGTGGAATTTGTCGGGACAGGCTCAAACAACCAAAGGTTCTCGACTGTTTCCACAGTTTCTGTCAAGAATGTCTCCAGGATTACTACGAAAGCAGGTACAAAGACACTCCAGAGATTCCTTGTCCTTCATGCCGGCACATGACAGCACTACCAGAGACACGCATTCAAGGCCTGAAAACAAATTTTCATTTGATGGGAATCATTGAAGAGATCTCTGTGCAGGAAAAAGTGGCACATTCAGAGAGTACGAAGGTCAGCTGCGAGTTGTGTGAAGAGGAAAACGAAGCTACGCATCGCTGCTTAGACTGTGCACAAAATGTTTGCCCAAACTGTCGCAAGACGCACCTGCGATGTGTCACTACATCAAACCATACAGTGGCTACTTTTGAGGAAATTCGTCAAGGAAAGGTGACCGTGAAAAAATCGGCAAATGAAGACCAGACTAGATGCCAAAAGCACAGGGGAGAGGTGAAACGATTCTACTGCGAGACATGTCTAGAGTTGATCTGCCGGGATTGTACTGTTGTTGACCACTGTAAACCAAACCATCACTACGTGGACTCTGGAGAGGCTTCTATCAAGTACAAACAATCACTGAAGGATATGTTGTCAGATTTTGATGTGGACATAAAAGTACTTGAACAGTCTTTAGCTGCTTCATCTCAAGCTAAGCAGAAGTTTGCACAGAGTGTCACAAGGACTGTGAAAGCTGTCAAGAAGAGAGCGGATAAACTGAGAGCTGAGATAGCAATTCAAGAGAAAATGTTGATTCGTGGAATCAAACAAATTCAACAGGATCGAAACAGAATGTATGACAAGCATCAAGAAAAAGTGAGCCAGCTTCTGCAAGGAAAACAACATTCAGTGGAAGTGGCCAAAGGTGTCGCCAGCACTGCATCAGACAATGACTTTCTGTCCCTCTATCCTGTCATCAACAAAGACTTGAAGTCACTGAAGGGTCCAACACCTCCCCAGATTGATAGCATGCTTTCATATCTGAGCTTCACTCCAGGTCAGACTGAAATCAATCTGGGCAAGCTGGAGGAGAAAGTCAGGAAGTGGGAGATGTGCTGCAAGTTTGACCATACAGGAGGAGGTCTAGGAGGGGTTATGTTCACTGTCGGCATTACTGGTACTGTATGTGGTGAAATTGCTCTGGTAAAATATTTCAACAAGAAAGTTCTGCTCTGCAGTAGTGATGGACAGGTGAAGGAAAAAATCCCTGTTCAATCAAGTAAGTTTCTTTTGGTGTATACACATACATGTACAAGCACAAATACACAGGGTTGGATCTGGCACCGAACTTGGGGGCGGGACGTTTTTTCAAAGACATAGGGCTGAGCCAAATAATGTCAAAATTTTGGTTGTTGGACGACCCTAAACACCCAATTGTCAATATTGTGTGATGCAGCCAACTTCCTTTCAGGACCTCAAGTCATCCAATGATCAGTTGAAATGTGTCATAATTTATTTCAAGAAATTCTGCATTACTGTAGAGTAAATCATTACAAAGACTTCTGACTTGCATATATCTACGTCTGACTTGTTCAGAAACCTGTTTCCATATGCTAGGATGGATCCCATATTCTGCTGTTGGGCTTATTAACTGCCTTGAAATAGCCTTAAGATGGTGATTTTTGTCATAAAAAATTAATTTGCTCCTCTTTTCGGGCATTTGCATTGGTATTTTCAAAATCAGAAAAAAAATCAAATATTTGGTACGCGATCCAATATATTTAAACACTCAAGATATTTGCCACAGATCTACAAGGAGGGGAAAAAAGTTATATTTATTTATTTCTTCAATCTTAATTCTTCCTTGCCCCCAGGTCCATGGGACATCGCAGCTATCCACAATCATGACAATCAGTTGGTGGTTGTAGATGACACCAAGTATGTCAAGGTGTTCAATAAGAAGAACGAGCTGGCCTTCCAGTTCCCTACAGTGCCACAGAGCGAGGTTGACAAGGCTGACATGAACTTCAGCAGTGTAGCAGTCAAGGAAGATGGTACCATCCTTGTGGGTGATGTGAACAGGATGGTATGGACTGAACACAGGCCCACTGATGGTGCGCTGCTGTGCACCATACCAGTGCAGACTCCGCCTTGTTACCTGGCTGTGGATGACCACACTGATAGGGTTGTGGTCAGCGGAGGTGGCAGTCAGAAAGTGGACATTGCTTCCAGCAATGGCACCATACTGGCCACCATCAAACCCTCCATCAATGGTCAGCAAGTGCAGCATTGCCACGGTGTTTGCTGCGACAGCTCAGGCACCTACATTGCAGTGTGCAATGAGCCTGACACAGGCCACATCCACCACTATGACCTCGATGGCAATTTCCTTGCTTGTGTGGTGCAGGGTCTGCATGTTCCGTTTGGAATTACATCCACACCAGATAGGAAGCTAGCAGTTGGCGACGGCCATGCAGTGAAAATGTATCATAAGGTTTAAGAAATAAGACTCTTTCCAAATGCACATTATGATTGACCAACGCATTGCAAACTCTTGGAGGTGCACTATTGTGAATCTGCCCGTATTGGTTAGAATTTCAGATGCATCTTATAGTCCCTGCTCCAACACTCAAATTGAGATGTCAAATACATTCACTGTTTGTATTTATATTCAGTGAAACAATATGATTTAGATTTAGTCATTGAAATATTTGTATTGAAGGCGAGAAAAATGGGTCTTTCTGTTCCAGTGATTTCCAGAATACAGTTACTCTGGACAGATTGCATTTGTACATGTCATTGATTGAAGTTGTCTGTTTTTGACTTCCTGAATTTCATGACAGTCCTTGGTATTTTTTATCTCATGATGTAATTTGTAAATACTTTTCAAGATCTGGTTCTTACTAAGGGAATTAATATGTGCCTGACCGGTCTTAAATGTGGGGCTTGGGCTTTAGTCATGTCCATTCTCCTGAGGAAGGTTTTAAACGTTTAAGACAGGCCAAGGACATATTTATTCCTTTTCATAAATACCTTTTTATTCAGAGAGTCAAAAGAAGTCAACAAACGATACCCAAAAAAGTTGAGGACTACCTTTTACTTTGTGTATACTTTTTATTTGAGATATTTGCTGCTGAAATTGTGCATGTGATGTTTTGAAGCATTTTTCATTTTTTTATTCCGATGAGAACACCATCTAGACAAACAAAAAAGGAAAGAACTAGACCCCACTTGTTGCTCGGAAAAAAATACAAGTACAAAAAAGAGGTCCTTAACATTTTTTGAGTAGTGTATAATGGATTTTCAAGAATTTTATTCTAAAACTTTACTTTCACTTTCCCGAACACCCCCCGTCCATTTTATGGTATATTCCTTTTCAGAGTTGTCCAATAGAATCCCCTTTAGTGAACTTGGCGCGCGTGACACGTCGCGTGCATACAAACTCCTGACCAATCAGACTTGATTAAACCGTCTCGTATCCATTTGCCAGTGCGTGATTTACGCAGCAGGCATTGTCACTTCTCAGCAAGCATTTTAATGTTAATGCATGGTCACGTGACGCGTTTTGACCACAAGAGTCTTACATACAGCTTATCTCGGTTTTCCTAGGACACTGGTGGATGTTACGTCATAAGAAAACTCAGGTAGAGTTTGCCTTTTGGTAGTAGTCGATGTGTGTGCTAATTCAGGTTTTTGTGGAAGTGAACACAATTTCGGTCTCTTCTAGTACATGTGTATGTGGTTATAGATGATGTACGGCTGCTTGGTGGGTTTCTTGTTGATGGAGGAATGACTTGGCAATTTTGTAGACGGAACCCAATCTGCCAGTCATTATCCCATTGCCAAAGATGGTCGAACTCCTGCTGTAGCAGTCTTCCATTACCCTCTGTCTTGGTAGTACAATATAGGACACGGTCGCCAACCGATAATATGGCTGTTGTACCTCCCGAAATACAGTCCGGGAGGTCGTAAAGCAGGACCAGCACTTGGTTCTTGTTTTTCTTGCTTAGGATGAACCCCCAAAACATTTGTATTGATATACTCACTGTTGGTATGTCTGCAAGCTGATCTTGTTGCCTTCTTCAGTTGATGGTAACGTTGAAAATATCTTAGTTTCTTAGACACCTTTGTCTTGGTAATGCTGTGCTTTTTACGCCGTCAGCCTTTTGATTTCCCTAGTAATCCATGGTTGCACGGTTAAACCTTGTGGACGTCATCTTGGAGGGTAATCCACTGTCAAGGATCTTTAATAATGTGGACTTAATATCTAACCCCGTGAAGTGGACTTCAAACGCTGTATACAGTGCTCACAAACCCACGTTGATAAGTGGAGAATATTCCTCCTTTCGCACGATCATTACAGGCCTTATTTCATCTGTGGATTTTACGCTTCCGTGGTTTGCTTCTCAGCCTGATTGAGTCGATCTTTTCCCTACCCTTTAGCGCCATCGAGTCAAAGCCTTTGGATTTTTTTTTTGCAGCTTCTGTCTCGGGCTTGCATAGGTGAGCACTCCGAAATGATCATTATAGGCCTACATATACCCTCCTGTCCTGCTGTCCTTGCCAAAGAGTCAACCCACCAGGTCTACTGTCTTGCTGCGTCGCATTACCCATTAATTGTGCTTGGATCGCATCCTTCACTCGAGGAGTACCCGCATTGGGGGTCCGTACAGAGGGGAAATTTGTGCCCGGAAAATCCAGATCAGTGATTATCCTGAAACAGCTGGTAACGGGTTTGTGGATGTTCTAGGACAGGGGGACACAGGTCATCTGTGACTTGAACTTAAATCGAGTCACATCGGCAATATGGCCATCTGATGGCTTGGACTTACCACCTGAAATTTAGGGCAAAACGCACGTCGACACACAAGGCGCTTAATCATAACAATGTTTCCATAACGCACATGCCTATGCACTCCGTCTCATGCAGCGTGCAGTTATGTTAGCCTAAACTGTCATCCCATCCCTGGTTCAACGGCCAGGAGATTGCAGTTTTGCTCGTCTCGGTAATTAACACGATTAAGTGTCTACTAAATAGACCAATGAAATGGCCAGCCGTAGTGCCATGGCTGTTTTTATCGAGTCACTTGTTATCAAAACAATTACGTGTAATGGCAATTTCTTTGAATACAGCTAACAAAGCTAATTTACGTTTTCGTGTATACGCGAAAAATTGATGGTATACGCGAAAAATTGATGTATCTATTTTTTGTGTAGGTGTATTTTGATGCGAAAATCCTCAGTACAACTTCAGCGAGGCGTGATTCTTCGTGTGTGTGTGCTCCTACTACGGCCGGCATATGTCTTGGCCGTCTTAATAAGCACACCTTTTGTCACTCGGCACGCTTGTGATGTTTCCCCGTTATTCTGCACGTAACTGCGAGCCATCATGCCGTCATGAAATTTACGCACCATGGAGTTGAATCGGTCGGGACATCCAACCGTGGCCATTTATCTACCAGCAGTCTTCCATGACAGTATCAATAATGTTAAAGACCTTTGTAACGTTTAAAAGGGCAATGTTGGAGATCCATGTTCTGTTCCTGGAACTGTCTTGCTGCAAATATAATGTTCACCATTCCTCTTCCGTCACAGAAGCCGCGCTGACTCTCGGAAGGTGTCCCTACTCGAGGAGCTGGGTAAGGTTGATGAGGAAGACCGTATTGAAGGATCTTGCCAGCTGTGGACATGAATGATCTCCTGGTATTGTCACGTGTATGAGGATTTACGCTTTCCTTCCTTTCGTAGGGATCTAACGTGGAGCGTCCTCGAAGTCCTGAGGTATAGTTGCTCCCACTGGACTGGAACAGCAGCCGATCTGCCAGTCTCTGGGTGAGGTGCAGACCTGTTCAACAGCAGGCTTGACATATAGGTACTAGGTACCCCATGGCCTTTTCAGTCTCTTTGTACCTTGGTGGCGTGTCTAATTCCTGTTTGACGCGTCCGACTATAGAGGCGTTGCATGCAGGACGGACATTTTCGTCCCATCTCTGGGATTTGGGCTGTGATGAGGTTTGGCCAGTCTGCACTAAAGGAGGGACTGTGCAGGACTGCAGGCCACAGAGAGAAGCGCTGGAAATGTTCCCTGTCTGCACCAGTGGCTCTGGGTCTCCTCTGCTTAAGCGTAGAGCCATCTTGCATCTGGCGAAGCCGTGGCCGGGACTTTCCAGCAAATGGTGGTGAAAGCTGCTTTCTTTACAGCTTATATGTCTTGTTTTGATTCTATAAATTACCCAGAGGTGATGCTTGATGGAGTAGAGACATGGTGTCATAATTATTCTCGGTGACCCAGTCCTGATACTTTCTCCGGTTCGTAAGTAGTTAAATTCAGTAAACCATAAGTTCCTTGAAGGCCACTCAACCAATCTTCTTCGACAGGACCATTTCCTGGCTTCAAGCTGTCCTGCTTCTATAGGTCACTAGAAAGATCAGTTACATCCTGCGAGATCCTGCTTGAGTTTGAGACTTGCCGTAACTTCTTGAAGATCCTTCTCTACTGAGGCCTTTTCTTGTGTAAGCTTGTAAGTGTTCGGCGTGTTGTATTATAATGCACAGAAATTTGTCATCCGTACATGCTACATGATAATGCCGCGCAAAGGAGTGTTAACACGAGCTGTTATTTTAATTACTCTTGAGTGAGAAAGTTACTAGAGGTTGGACTTGGACTCGAGGCAAGTGACTCAGCGAGCTAGCTAGGACGTGGACTCGAGAGGTAATTTGCGAGATAAATTTGAATAAAATCTGATACATGTACACTGATCGAGTTCTTGAAATTCACGTGGACTTAACGATTTGAATTCTCACACTGTTGCTATACCTCGCGATAAGGAGCGAGCTTTTGCTTAGTTACATAAGAGATGCCTTGCCTCAATACACTGTTGTCAGTGGGTTAAGAAGGGCACAAAGGAACCAGTCCATTCCAGAGATGGCGGTCGCTATGTGAAAGCGTTACCCGAATCACGAGGTATAGCAATAGTGTCTTTAGTCTGAGGAATTCGAATGTTACGTTTATGTTTAATATCAGATAACAGAGTGTATAGGCCCTACCAGATGTTATTAATTTCACTCGCAAATGGCTTATTGACCCAGACTCGGATTCGACTCAAGTGCCACTTGAGTCGAAACCGGGAATTGCCCACGGCAAAAATGGCTTTTTTAAAAATCAAATTATATTTGCCCTTAAGCTATTTTTACCGCAGATTCAAGAATTAATTTTGGCAGTACCTTTTGCACTTTCAATCTTGGCAAAATCCTTCTTTGCCTCTGAGTCCTGTGGACAAATCTAGCCAGATATTTTGATGGCAGCTTAATTGTTAATCTGTGCGTGCGGCCCATGATATCGGAAAATGCAGACAACTTATGAACAAAACACGAACTCAAGAAGTACTTAGAATATGATCAGGATTGGTTTCCTTATTTCAGCCAAGTAAAGCCTTTAAAATGATTTTTATTGCTAGCAGTCAATTTAACCTTTAATTGACTTTTGACACTTTTAAAGTTCATTATTTTTAATAACCATTTAAATAGGTTGGATTCGATATTCTCCAAATGGAGCCTGTACCAATTATGCCATTGGAGTATTTAATTTTGTCAGTTTTAATTCAGACATGTGAAGTGGTTATGGCCGTCTACAGAACGCTTTCCTCAAGTTAAGAAAGCTACTTAACGCAACGACAATGAAATCTTTGATAGGCCCACTGAAATACGTCGACAGAGGGCGCACTCGGTATAGAAAATGGAGCGAGGGTGGAATGGAAATGCCCTGTTGCGGTGAAAGTCGGTGCAGAGCCGTCGTTGTAGTACTGGTTTTTCTCGTTTTTACCGAATATTTCATTGTTGGAGTTGAGGGACAGCGAGTGCTTTACGAATATGTGAGGTACCCATTCAAGAAAAAGCCTAAATTTGTAAGTTACGGGACGTTGATGATGGGGCATAGCTACGGTGTAGCTTGGCGATTGCTAGTATTAACGTGACGCACTTGAAAAAACACAATTTTATTTTTAGCCTAAAAAAAGGTCGTACGCACATGGAGGAAGTGTCCTATCTCCATGGTACGCACGAGGGGGGGAGGTTGCCGTTTGAGACTTGTCTAAAAACCCTTTGTCAAAAAAATAGTTTTCTGAGTAAATACTTTGGAATTTTCCTAGCTAAATTTCACTTTTAGGATGTGTTATCACTTTCTAATGGCTGTTATAATTTTTAAGGGAACATTACTCATTAGTGTTGTCCGCATGCATAGAGCTAGGAACTGGAACTCTTTCCAAAGTTTCCTTCGGCTTTCCTCATGCAGTGTTACCAAACCTCTTTGTTGAAATGTTCAAACTTGTTCAGTTGATTACCGGGAACCAGGCCCATTGGCTTGGGAGGATGGGGCCCGCCCACTCACTTTTGCACTTGGTGTTTTTTTTTTAATTAATATTGTTTATAAACCAGAATTTTTTGGAATATAAGCCACGGCTTATATGTTTATTTTCATGCTAAAAATGTCTCTCCATTCAGCAAGTTCATACTAGGCCAATTAATGATGCGCTGTGAATATTGAAGACTGGAGTGTGAAGTCTTAGTATGAAGTCCTTCAGTTGGTGACAAATTGTTCCAAGCACATTATGATTGGCCTTTGTTTAAAAAGATGTGTTCAGAGTGTAAAAAGTCAACTTTGGGGTTTGACACCCCCCCTCAAGTTTACAAATGCGTTGAAGTTGTTCCCTTTACTCTGTTAGATTGTTCAGTACGTACATGTACAGTATATGTTACGCCCCAACTAAAGCATCAGTCCCAACTGTAGTTTTGACAGTTCCAACTTCAGTGCTGTAACTGGGCTGGCCCCCCCTACATGTCTCGTTGACCATTTTCTATAGAAAATTTCTCAACCTTATCCAGTGTATGCATCTCACGCCTGACACAATTCATTTAAAATATCGCATGTCATGACATTGTAAACAAAATGACTTTGGCACATGCTGGACACATGCACACATTGGACCTCTGTGCTGTAGTTGGGCTGGCCCAACTATAGCACTTTAGTTGGGACGGGCCAAACTATGGTTGGGACTGATGCTATAGTTGGGGCGTAACATATACAGTGTACATGTCTGTGTATGTAATATTTGTTGTGGCCTGGGACACTGTAGAATTCTTGCCGCTTTGCCGCTTGTTCAAACACCCAGGTCTGATCAAACACTTTAACAGGGAGGGGAGGGGCTAGCGTGAAAGCTTGGCTGTGATTTCCATGTGTTCCTTATTCCGCCCAGGAGCGACAGTACAAGATTAACCTGCGTCAGTGCGAACAGAATGCGGAATGCAGTCAGGTGCAAGGTTTGGATCTCATCCGCTGCGGCCGAATGTGCATTGCGCCAGATTGCTATCAAGAGTTGTACGCTCACGACGAGGTAGGTGCACCCATACAGGCATGTGTATGTGCTGAGGGGTGGGGCTAACAGGCATTATGTGGGGGGGGGAGGTGTGACATCCCCAACATCCCTGTGCATTGTTTCTTTCGCCAAATTGTGCAAGGAAGTCTAAAAAGTTGAAACACTTCACGGACAAGATTTTAAGACTTAGTTATTTTCCTTGTCACAAGGCATTCTTTGTTGAAAGGGCACAAAACAAGGTACAAAAATTTGCCCTTTAAAATTACCCACAAAGTTCTGAAGAAATATTGCTCATTGCTGTTCAATGAAGCTGCATAAGACGATGAACAGGCAAGAAGTGGAACTTGCGTTCTCCAAGAAAAGTGTGATACATGTACGTGTAATACATACGTGTACATGTACACGATGCATGTACACATAGAGCTATGGAGACGCTAACTGTTTGACCTTGAATTACATCATGGTGTGGCTGATGAATGAGGAATTGTTCACTGGCAGAAAAACCAAAATGTTGAATTTTCTCCCACAAAGACGATGGAAAGTCACAGTAAAAACACATCCATGTAATTCACGTCATAAAAATCTGTCAGATTTCATGTCTTTTTTAAGGTTCCAACAGGAACATTTTCTGATTGGTGATTGGGAACATTTGCTATTCATACTTTTGGGTATAGCATGCGGTACATTCTGAAAAAGTCCTGTTCCTATTTGGAACATATTGGGAACTCATCTCATTCCGTAAAGAACTTTTCCCATGGAAAGAAAAGCAGGAAAGTTCTGAGTTGTGAGATGTTCCCTAAATGCTGTGGCTATACTTGAGGCACTTTAGACTGGTTGCCCTCTACAGGAACCAGACCAGTATGTAATGAATGGATTCTGGAAGTCCCTTTGAAGAAAATCCTCCTGTGGTGTGAATCTACCGGTACCGTAAACAGATAAAAAAAACCTTATTAAAAGTAACTTGAGATTTGATCAGAAAAATAAAGAAAATTAAATAAAACAAACATTCCTTTTTGCATATATTGAATGAGCCACTGTCGCACCTCAATTGGTTGCATGAAATCCAAAACTTAATACATGGTGATATAGTGCAGTGCTGTTACTAGAGAAAAATCCGAAATTGGATGTTGCATTGTAACATTTATATTAGCCACTGTCCCCAAATACAGGCCAAGGTTTTTGAGTGTGCTTTTTAAATGTATCTGTACATGTGCAGTGCACTGCATTTGGAATCCCTTCGACTTTTGGTGCACAGGTCAATTTGTCCGTGCTTTCCTGGACTTTAAAGCGAGGGCACCATTGCTGTGATGTCAGTCAGGGGAGACAGTGAGCATTCAGTGTACATGTACCTGTTTTCCACTTCAAATTGTGAACCCCAAATTTTCTTCATTGAAAACATTTCCTTTAAACACTCGTTTGTTGACTTATTGCAATATTTCTACAACAGTAAATCACTAGAAGAAAAAGACTCCAGAACTGCAAAACATTAATTAAAACCTTTTAAAAAGCATTTTTGTGTGAACGAATCAATGTAACAGAGCAGTTTCCTACCCTAAATGATAAAAGAGTTTTGGCCGCATGTGTGGAAATTTTCATTTATTAGCATACATTGTAAAAACAAAAAAGCACCATAATACCAGACAAGTGTACCAACAGCACTTTACATCATACTTGTAGACTAGTGAGTCAGCATGACAATTGCTTGCAGATTTGTAACAAAGCATGACTGAGCATGAACTCTGGAAACGGGAATGCGAGGAACTTTGGATTTCACAACTTCGTCGCTTTCAGATATTACTCAGCAGAGACATGCAGAGCAAATATCCACCGTGCATTTCCTGGTTGGATCGCTCCTTAATTTCCTGGTTAATAAAGCATTTTAGTCTCGTCTCTGCTATCAACAAATGACACTGTTTCCCCTGTCTCTCCTTTCACTTTCATCTTTCATGTCTGCAAAAGATTTTGGTGTATCGGCACTGTACATTTCGACGTCGGTTGCGGCGTTTGTCAGTTTTTTGTTTGGGCAATTAGTTTCAGTGTACAAGCTCAAAATACCCACAGGAGGGAATCTCAACTGCATTAGATTGTTCTCAAGTATCCAATCTTGTTCAGTTTTCTTGTGCATAAGTTTGCATGTTGATGCCACAGTGTAATAAGGTTGTACACAGTACATTGTGTGGGACTGTCCCACCCTGAAGGGAACTAACCGACTCTCTGCCAAAAGGTATACACCGTACATTAAACCAAGGGAACTAACCGACTCTCTGTCAAAAGGTATACACCGTACATTAAACCAAGGGAACTAACCGACTCTCTGCCAAAAGGTATACACCGTACATTGAAACCAAGGGAACTAACCGACTCTCTGTCAAAAGGTATACACCGTACATTAAACCATGATACAGGAGTACTATTCCCCATGCACCTCGTATGGTACATACAGTACTCAGTTGTCCTACATGTACATGCATGTTTAATTTTCATGCATGATCACCACGTACATGTACATTCTGCGTGTGCCGCAATCTTTTCATGTGTCAAGGTTGATCCCTGTGCTTGCATACCGGTGCTTCACCCAGTCAAAAATTCTTTGACAGCTTCATCGAGGGCACATTGTACATTGATGTACTGACTTGTGCAAATGGACTGAATTAGCTTGAATTTTAGTCCATACAAACCAATACATGTACATTCAAGGAGTGACTGTATTGGTCTGTGGTATTCTCAGGATCTTAAACCTTGCCAGGCAGGGTATAGCTCTCCCTAGCCCCTCCCGGAACTGATGGTACTGGAATGTGTAAATGAAGGGATTGACGCACATGTTCAGGAAGGCGAAGCTGATGCTGAAAGCGAAGAAGTCCTCGTTCAGATGGACGTCTTCAATGTTGTAGTAGAAGTAGGCCAACTGGTTGGGCAGCCACAGCAGAGAAAAGACCCCGCAGACGGTGACCAGGGTTTTGATGACGTTCCGGCGGGCTGGGTGGTTGCGCAACTCCCCCTTCGGTAGGATGGGCGTCTGCTCGGTAGGAGGGCTGCCTGTTATAGTAGTTGCCCACAGTGCCCTGCAGATCCTGACGTAGGCGATCACCATCAGGGTCAGGGGTAGGATGTAATCGAGGACCAGAATGAGCACAGAGTACGTGATCTTAACAGGCAGGGACTGGAAGTGCCGTAAATGGCAACGGCCACGGTCATCTAAGTAATGGCCCATCAGTTTGTAAATGGGCAGCAGGTATCCCAGGACCCAGGGCAGCATGGCCAGTAACAGAGACTTGGGCCAGGCCAGGCAGCGGCTGTTGTGATACCTGATGGGGTGGAGAGTGGCAAAGTAGCGTTCAAATGTCAGCAGCAGCAGGTTGAAGATGGACGTCACGGTCATTGCCCAGAACAGGTACTTGGAATTCCAGACGTAGCACACGAATGCCCGCCAAAATGGTGTGGCCGCAGGTGGTCTCTGTCCCGGCACGAGATAGCACAGCACCAGAAACATGGAAGTCACCAGGTCAATCAAGGACTGGTTCACCAGCAAGATGTTGGTGTTGCCTCGGCGCGAGATGACCATAGAGGCTAGCACGTAGATAGCCAGGCTGTTGCCTGTGATTCCCAGGGCCGCGATGGAGCTGTACACTATCTTGACGGCCAGGGTTAAGGGAACCTCATCCGGCACTGGTGGAGGGCCTGTTGCTGTCATTGCTCACAACCTGCCCAGTATCTGATGAAACTCGAAATTAAGATGCAAACTCTGTAGCCTCACACTTTCAGGTGCATGTACAGACCTGGACAGGTGCATGTACAGACCTGGACAGGTGCATGTATAGACCTGGACAGGTGCATGTACAGACCTGGACAGGTGCATGTACAGACCTGGACAGGTGCATGAGACCTGGACAGGTGCATGTACATGTACGCTTGCAGTCTTTGTGTTTGTTATTCAGGACATGTGCACACACACCAAGAGGAGCCTTGTTAAGTCACAGTGTTGAGTGTAGAGAGGTCAGTGTAGACTCAACGAGTTCAGTGTACCGTAGACTCATAAAGCCGAGTGTAGTTTCCCAACTATCGGTGTACCGGTACCGTAGACTCAAAGATCACTTGTGGACTCAGAAAGCTACATGTAAGTGTAGACTCACAACTACCGCGTACTTTTATCGTTATAGACTCAAAGATCAGTGTAGACTCACAAAGCTCAGTGTAGACTCATAACCATCTGTAGATTCACAAAGATCACGGTCGACCCACAATTATCAGTGTAGACTCAAAGATCAGTATACATGTAGATCCACAAAGCTCAATGCACATTCATAAATTCAAATGTAGCAGGTATTAGATACACAGATCAGTTTTTGCACTGCAGATGAAGACCATGTTTCCCCATTACAAAGTGTTGCACATAGAGTTTTTGGCTAAACTCTTTAAGTTTTGTATTTTACCTGTTCATACTGGGCAGCATAGTGTACCAGGTATGTACATTGTCAACATATCTGTTGTTGAGTACAGTGTATCGCTAATTTCTCTCTTCAGCACGGTTCTCTTCTCAACATTGAAGGTCTTGAAAGGACTTGACTAAAATGCTCAAACTCCTCACGGCCAGTTTCTCTGAGAAAAACACCACATGCATGTACACACATGTACAAGTACGGTACACGCACCAGTATGTTGCAGTGGGCTGTTGAATTGAATCAGTCAGATTGGTTGGCGGGTTGCACATGTGCGTGTATAGTACTTGCAGGTTGCAAATTGATGTGCAGTTCACGGTTTTCTGCTCTGCATTTTGCAGACGTTCAAGTTAGCTACTGGTACAACACACATGTATACACCCACCTGTAACTTGCGGTGTTGAAAGGTTTTGTTGATTCAGTGCAGTGGAAAAGTACATGACTCAAGTATGAAAGTGCAAGGATGGAACCCCACACCTACATGTGCTCTCTGTTCGTCTTCCTTGTTGTGTTATGGAGTGGACCTTTCCTGTAGCCATTGCGAAAGACTAAAACTCCAAAGGGGGATTTCTCTTTTTACTTTGAATAGATTTTTTTTCGTAGTTCAGGATCACATGACAGGAAGTTCGATTCATTGAATCATCACTGACATGTCATATTTGTTCAAAGCATTTACATGTGAGGGTGAGATGTTTAAACGTTTGAGGTAAAAAGGTTCCAAATCCATTTACATGTACAAATTTGTCCAGAATATTTAAACAGAACCTATTTCATTTTGTTTAACCCTAACTATACATAATACTACAAATTACTACTTGTAGTAAATGTAGTAATCAGCCCTGTTGCTTGTAAGAGGACTTGACCTTATTGTTCCCTGAAGCCATAAAATACAATAGATAAGACAATGTACCATACAATGCTCTGGCACTATGAATGCACGGCTTTATTGTTCTCTTTACAAGTAACAATGGAAGTACCCCAGCCAGAAGTAGTAATCTGTAGCACTAGGTCCTTCAGGCCCAGGCTACTACTTAGTATTTTGTAGTACTGAGTACCGTAAGCCAAACAATATGCTTGGTGGTTAGGGTGAAAGAACGAAATTTTGGTGATAGCCAAAACAGTCCCAAATCCCCTGATTTCGATATGATTTTACATGTACAGTAGATACACCGGGAGGGGGGACGGGATAGGGTTAATTCTCTCATTGACAAAGTACGGTATCTTCAATGTCAAATAGCCATCAAACAGTATACATACATGTAAGCTACGTGTACGTGTATTCTCAAAACAAATGAATCAACTCTGACAGCTTTATCGTTCCAATGGCTATCCTGGTAATTCTACCATATATGTACATTGTATCTCTTTAGTATCAAAAAGTATCTACATACAAGTGTATTTGGGTTCAATGTGAGATCACTGGTCTTTGAAGTACAGTACTGCCTCTGGTCTGTGGTTTGTTCAAATGATTAAATGGTACATTAAAGTGCTAAATTTATGTTTATCAAATTAAATGCAAATTCCTGCCCGTGAAGGCTTTACAGACTCCGTGTACATGTGCGTAAATTATGTTTTTTTAACCCCAACCGCCCAGGCCCTTTTGGCTAGGATGCACCTTCAATCCTTCAAAATCCTGCAACTGCCCCCATGAAAGAATGAAATGCAGCCTCAATCCCCCAAAATCCTCTGATAATTCTTGCACTTGTACAAGTCCGGTACATGTACCAGTATGTTGCAGTGGGCTGTTGAATCGAATCAGTCAGATTGGTTGGCGGGTTGCACATGTGCGTGTATAGTGCTTGCTGGTTGCAAATTGATGTGCAGTTCACGGTTTTCTGCTCTGCAGTCCTGAGTAAGATCGGCTGAAAGACTTCCTCCCAAAAAGAGGAAAAATGTTGTCCTTTGTCAGATGACCATGACATTATATCATATTTGCCTGTGGTAGTGGAGTCATTGGGGACATGTATTGCATAAAACCACACATTTGTTTTCTGGTATCTCCATAAAGTATTGAATTATTAAAGGAAAACCTAAAAAGTTGGTGTTTTTTTACCCCAGTTGAATCTACACATAAAGTATGTTGGTTTTCATGTGAAGTTGTTCAGTGGAAATGTATTTTTATTGAATACATATACATGTATGGTAAGGATTTGTGGGTACACCATGGGATCTGTCCCTTCAAGAAGAGATGAGGTTCTGAAAAGAACCAGTGAGGGTTAACCACTTCGTGCTGGGGGACCCGGTATCGGGTACCTTGTGTTTGTGCGCGTAGCTGGGGAGCCCGAAATCGGACAAAGGAGCCTGGTCTTGTAACAAAGACGGCACTCTGAACAAAAGACTGAGCCGCTGGAACTTGAAGAAAGTTTGTCACTTGTCAATAGTGGCAGTAATCCTTCCTTATTTTGAAACGCTATACCACTATTTGTGGCATTCAATACGAAGGATTACAACCATGGACAAAAGCTCTTAAGCGCTGCAGTGCTGAGCAACACAATCAAATACCGCTGCACGCTAATCTGGCCCTGCCAGCAGCGAACTGCTCTAGTCTCGGGAAAAAAAGAGAATTATGCAACACCACACAATCTGTGCTCTCTTTACAAGGCATCAGGCCTGGCTGAAATACAGGGGCGTCAATAGATGTTGCCTGTCATATTAGAGTGGCCACCAGACAGTCATTTGTGTGAGTGTAAATGTCCAGTAAATGAAGTAATGAGTTTTTGAAGAATTTTGAACACGATAAATCATGAAAAATGCCTGTATTTGTGCACGGCCATTTTAATAAGCCTTTTGCGAGTTATATTTGAATAAAATCTGGTACACTGAGTTCTTTAAATTCACGTGAACATAACAATTGGCATTCTACATACTAAAGCCACTGTTGCTGTACCTCGTGATTCGGGGCAAGCTTTTGCTTAGTTACATGAGAGATGCCTTGCAACAACAAACTGTTCTCAGTGGAAAAGAAGGGCACAAAAGAACCAGTCCATTCCAGAGATGGTGGTCACTAAGCAAAAGCTTGCCCCCAATCACGAGGTATAGCAGTAGTGTATGTAGTCTGGGGAATTCAAGTTGTTGTGTTTGTGTGCAATCAGGTAACTCAGTGTACCAGATTTATGCAGATTTGACCAGGATCATGCTCTGGCCGTCCCCATGGTATACCCACAAATCTTTACCATACCTGTGTGTATCACTTCCACCATGCAAAGTTTCAAATCTTAAATTTAAGCCACTGGTTGGATCCACAGTTAGCATCCTCTCCACACCACACTGCCCTCTACACACCATATTGCCCTCTACACACCATACTGTATAAGCTGCCTCATCACTGGACCATCTGCAGTCTCCTGACAATGGACAGAACATGCTGTTGGAAACGTTGAGTACCACCGGTTCTTTTCAGAACTCCACACGTACACAGTGTACTCAAAAAAGAGATACATGTATGTATCCATGGTGCTGTCGCTTAGGCACCATGGTGCTATCTAGTTTACCTGCTACCTCGACCACGAAAAGCTTCAAATCTCATCTTTCAAATCTTGCTTAGGGAATATATGACTGATCATGACATTGTGAAGTGTACGTGTACATTGTACGTTTTTGACATTGAATGTTGATACACTTACAGGCAGAGACATGGTACATGCAGGAGAAAAAAATGACAGTGACGTCATGATGACCTCGTTCATGTCATATGTCACGTGATACACCTGTCCATCAAAGTGCATGCTCATCTTCAGAAGGATATATGCACATGTGTAATATACATGTACATGTACAGATGGATGAACCTTACCACAGTCACATGGCAAACAAGTCTAGTAGATGTTCCTTGCCTGTGGTATTCTCAGGATCTTAAACCTTGCCAGGCAGGGTATAGCTCTCCCTAGCCCCTCCCGGAACTGATGGTACTGGAACGTGTAAATGAAGGGATTGACGCACATGTTCAGGAAGGCAATGCTGATGCTGACGGCGTACAAATCCTTGTTCAGGTGGACGCTGTTGACAATGTAGTAGAGGTAAGCCAGCTGGTTGGGCAGCCACAGCAGAAAGAAGATCCCGCAGACGGTGACCAGGGTCTTGAGGATGTTCCAGCGGGCCGGGTGGTTGTGTGCATCCCCCCGCTGAGTAGACAGCCGCAGGATGGGGGTCCGCTCGTTGGGAGTGTCCCCTGTTGCCCTGTTAGCCTGCAGCACCTTGTAGATCCTGACGTAGGCGATCACCATCAGGGTGAGGGGTAGGATGTAATCGAGGACCAGAACGGTCACCGAGTATGCGATACCTGTCACATGGTTGAAATGCTTCAACTTGCACTTCTGATGTTTGTCCAGGTAGTGGACGATGAGTGTTTTACATTGCAGCAGGTAGCCCAAGGTCCAGGGCAGTGTTGCAAGTAAGAGAGACCTGGGCCATGCCAAGAAACGACTGTTGCGATACCTAATGGGATGGAGGGTGGCGTAGTAGCGTTCGAACGTCAGCAACAGGAGATTGAAGGTAGAGGCCAGGGTTGTTGCCCAGAACGGGTACTTGGGATTCCAGACGTAGCACACAAATGCTCTCTGAACTGGTGTGTTTGCCGGTGGTCTCTGGCCTGGCACAAGATAGCACAGCACCAGAAACACGGAGGCCACGAGGTCAATCAGTGACTGGTTTACTAGCAAGATGTTGGTGTTGCCTCGTCGCGAGACTATCTTACAGGCCAGTACGTAGATCACCAGGCTGTTTCCCACGATCCCAAGGAATGCGATGGAACTGTACACTATCTTGACGGCCAGGGTTAGAGGAACATCATCCAGTTCTGGTGTAGGGACTGTGGCCATCACTGCTCACGGTCCGCTCAGCCTCTGCTGAAACTCAACATTTAATGGTTGTGAGTTGTGTACAGGCCTGGCACTGTCAGCAATACACCTGTACATGTACCGGTATGTACATGTACACATTCAATCCTTCGGTATGCTGCTCTGGACACAGCACTTGATGTAGACTCACAATGCTCAGTGTAATCTCACAAGGCTCACTGCACGTACATGTATACCCAGAACTCAGTGTATGCTAGACACACAAAGTTCAGTGTAGCTTTGTCCTGTGTAGACTCACAAACTTGTGGACCCATGTAGCTCTGTGTACACTCTCACAAACCTCAGTGCAGACTCGCAAAGCTCAGTGTAGACTTGCAAAGCTCAGTGTAGACTCGCAAAGCTTGGTGTAGACTCGCAAAGCTCGGTGTAGACTCGTAAAGCTCAGTGTACACTCACAAAGCTCAGTGCAGACTTGCAAAGCTCAATGTAGACTCAAAACTAAGTGTAGACTCGTAAAGCTCAGTGTACACTCACAAAGCTCAGTGCAGACTTGCAAAGCTCAATGTAGACTCAAAACTAAGTGTAGACTCGTAAAGCTCAGTGTACACTCACAAAGCTCAGTGCAGACTCGCAAAGCTCAATGTAGACTCAAAACTAAGTGTAGACTCGCAAAGCTCAGTTTACACTCACAAAACTAAGTGTAGACTCAACAAAGCTCAGCCTTGTCCAATTAGTAAGCACAGCACTCTTCATGTGGCTGGTGACAGGTTTTTCCAGTTACACTCTATGCAGTGCACATTTGCAGATTTGAGATCAATTATTAAAATGTCCCAGAAGAGCTTTGAATGTTTGCTTTTGTGCAGCAGTTGTCGGTACCTGTCTCTGCTACACTTTCCTTCACATTCTTCTCCACACGAGAACCTTTTGTGAAAGTTTTGCCGGCCAGAATGCTCAAATGCCCAAGGTGCGATCTGGCTCCTTGCATTCTTTCCTGAAGATGACCATCATCACCTGCAGCCCGCTAACATGACGCTGTACCCTCAAACCAGTCAAGTCGGTTGGCTTGTTGTATAGAATAGATGTAAAGTTCTCAGTTGGTTCCTATGCAGTAGCAGTGGACCGAGCCCACCCACACAGGCAGACCCGTGAACCAGCTTTCGTCTGTCACTGTATTTCAGGTTTCTGTGAAGCAGTCCAGCGGAAAAGTACAGTCCACGTGAACACCATTGTGGAAGCTTGAAATCCAACCCACTCAGGGTTTGTCTTCCTTGTTGTGTTTTGAACTCTAGGCATTGTAAAAGATCAAAATCAAACGGGGAATTTTTCACTTCCTTAATATAGATTTTTTGATAAATGTTACAGGCACCTTGATTCCTAGAATTGACTAGATGGGTGCATGTACTGTTTGCTTAAACCCGTAGCATCATGGACCATGGACCATACATGTATGCAATAACACGTGAAGGGTCTGTGCAATACATTTATTACCACAGCCTTTGAAAATACACCTCCGTGTTTCAACTCACTAACCTTGTATTGAACTTTTATTTTGCTATTTTATTTGAATTTTTGATGGCTTTTTTTCGGGCTGAGAATTCCCATATTCATGAGTAGTTAAGCTATTCATCTCAGAGAGAAGACCGCTACAATGCATTTGTTTGTGCACAAAAAAGGTGGGGATTTTGATGAATTGCTTTCCCACCTGTAAAATTCCCTTTCCTTTGGTGATGTACTGGTACTCTGGTGTGAGTTTGTGGCAGTAACCCAACAAGCAAGCCTTTGTCATCAATGTTTTCAATGAGCAAATGTTACATGTAGGTTGAACGTGTGAATGGAATAAGCAAAGAAGGGGAATAGTCTTCCCTGAATGACATCACACCAACAGCGCCCCCAGTTGTCTGCAAAAGCATGACCAAATTAAGATGTCAAGTGCTCGTCTTGATACACTCACCCAAACTAGATGTCGGATATTTTAACTTGTCTGACATTAATTCAAAGAAGAGTGTGAATTTGCAAACTAGATGTCGGATATTTTAACTTGTCTGACATTAATTCAAAGAAGAGTGTGAATTTGCACAAAAAGTGTGTCTAAGAAAGATGAATCGCCCGGACACTTTAATTATATATATTTCTATTGCTTCATTTGCTTTTTAATTTTAGCTGGAGTTAGGCGAAGTCGATGTGCGGTTAACATCATTCAAAGGCTGCTGGGTGCAACGCTACTACAGGTAGCAGGTTCCCTGCTTTGCTCGAGGCCGTTCACTGATCTCCCCCGTAACACCGGAGGAAATGGATGAAATTGTGCCAGCGTTGGGCACCTGTTGAAATGGAGCGCTTCACAGGAGGAAATGGATGACATTGTGTCAGCGTTGGGCACCTGTTGAAATGGAGCACTTCCACCAGGCGAGATTAATAGTCCATTCAGTCCGGTGTGGTAAGAGTGCTCTCTGCAAGACATGTCTGTGTAAGCCAAAACTGTTTTTTTTTTTTTTTCAAGGCTCGTTCATACTTCACGCAAATGTGAATGCGAATGTAAAGATGTCAGATCAAATAATCACCCTGTGACTTTGCAAAAGTTGAACACATTTCAACTTGAGTGACATTTTGCTGTCAGACTGTCAGATTCACTTTGGCATTCACCCGAAGTCTAATCCGGCCTTGAGTCAGTTTCCATGTACACGTATGCATGTCCAAGGTTAAAATCCGTTCATGGTCGTGTTTGTACATGTTGTCCTGTGTTAATGTATTCAAGGATGCTGGCTGTTCCACTTGTTTCCTGTAGGTGTACACCCACAGACTTTATATAAAAAATCTTGACCTGTCATGCCCTTTATAGTCGACTCTCCCACAAAAATGTCAGAGAGGTCACCAACGGCCATCTTACCATGCCAAATACAAAGGTACGTGTAATACCGGTACAAAGGGCCTGTTTGTTTTACGTGGATCGCGATCGCTGATCCGGGGCTGGTTTGCTCTATCCATTAGGCGAGTTCTGGTGTCACTGAACCAATGCCGGATTACTGATCACGATCAGTAAGCCTTTGTGAATCAGATTTCATTCGTGACATCAGTAGTTACCGTGGTGAGCCAGCCCATCACCTTTGTATTCGATATGGTAACACAGCAGGCATGCAATTTTTCCTCGGATCATCTGATTTCCTCTCATGCCATTGAAAATTGAAAAACGCCGTTCAAAGTCTCCCAGAGATTGGAGTTTCTTTGCTTTTTTGTGGAAGTCCAAGTTGCATGCCTGACATTGCCACCAGTGGCTTCATTGGGTAGAAGGGCATTGCAAGTGTAATCCGTGAACCAGAGTCAATATTTCCACTTGGGCATGCATCTGTGTAATGACGACAAGCATTGGCATTCCCAGGATACTTCTAGAGGGGAGGGGGAAGGGGAGGGGCAACCACTTTTCTGGGGAGGGGGGTTCAGTTTTGCGGCTTTTTAAAGCAAATTGGTGACGTTTATCTCTTCACTCACCCATTTTTCATCTTTCAAGCTGTTTATTTTCCCGGGGGGAGGGGAGGAGTGGCGAGGAGGGAACCGCATTCCCCCCGCAATGGTCATAATAGAAAATTTTGAGTTTCCAAGATGTGAAATCAATCAGCCACTGTCCTTGGGTAGAATGGTTGGCAGGCAGAGGAAGTCAAGAGTTGGACAGGATGCAATCCTGTTAAATATCAGCTCAGATTTAATACCTTCCTGTTTCCTACTCTCCTACTTGTCAAAATACTAATTAAATGTGCAGTACACGTATATACATGCGAGGCCAACTTTGGAAAGAACTTCCAAGCAACTCCAAATTGTAAGAGAAATACGGCTGGCATACGTACACCCTGGCGGGAAGAATGCATCGTTATGATGCATTGGAGTTAGAGGACCACGAACTTCCCTTTGGATTGTTCCAACTAAAATTGAATACTTTTGATTCTTCCAACTTAGATTGAAAAAGTGAAATTAATTCTGCAATAAACATTCCATTACTTACAATAATTAACCAGCCTTTGCACTTCACACTGCAAATCTTCGTGTATTTCTTAAAATCCAGACAGGTCTGTAGGTTTCACTCTGGAATCAACAAAATGAGCTTGAATATCTTACACAGTCCGCGTTATTGTAGAAGAGACCATAAAGAACTGTTTACATGTATGTACATTTACTTTAAGCTATTCCTTTTTTTCTAGTGGACCAAATGTACCTAATTCTGAGACTTTTACTACTCTGTGTACAAGTACCATCAAAACAAAGTTTGTTGAGGAGCATTTACAAATCATGATTGTTCCCTAACAGTGATGGCTTGACTTGGTATGCAATGTATACATTTACAGTTGTTATTTCTTTGGGAGACACTGTTGTCCTGTGCCAAGGACGTTGTTGAGGGTAGTTGAAACTTATTATAAATAAAGGCCCCCCTTCAGGTTTCTGGACAACTCCAGTAATGTGACTGTTTGGTGCGCCATCTGGAATCCTGCGCAAGTTCCATTGCACTCCATCCTCAGTTGATTTGCCTTTGAATGAAATCAGTTCATGGGATAAATCGGCTCAGGAGGAAGTACGATAAATTTGTGCTGGAGCCAAGATTGCTGTAAACACGAAAAATGGAAGCAAGGAATATTGAGTCTTACCAAAATCAAACACTGGGAAAAAAAGAACCTTCCCTCATGTTATATTACGTAGCAGGCTAATGTATACCCTCAAATCTATGTACTATATATACGTGAATGATGAATTGTAAATAAACAACTGAGATCTTCCTGAATACTGCAGAACTCTCGATATTACAGTGGAAAACATAAGCTTCATCGGACTGAGAGCCTAAAGATTGAATCTGAAATATTCCAAGACCAGAAGCCGATTTCACAAAACTTTTAAGCAACGACATAACATAACCCATGCCTCACTTTATTGTGCACCAAATTAAAAATGAAGAACAATTTCACAAAACTTAACATGGCGTACATGTGACTTATGCAGTCATTCAAGGTGATGCGAGTTGCACCAACGCGAAAATTGATGATTTCACCAACTCTTGGTGTGTGTTCAGGGCTTATCACTGCTGAATTTAACATGGTTTGTATGAGAAATGCACAACTTTGTTTAAGAATGTAATGAAGAACTTTGAAATTTATGTCTGGTTCTGACAAAGAAAAGACGAAAACTTCAAAATGGTAGTTGGAGGTGATTTGACGACTGCTTAACCGCTGCGCTACGGAGGACTGCGACTACCACACCAGGCTGGACAAAGCCCTCCATTCAGGGCATACCACGGCCCAGCAGTCGCGGTCAAAATAATCCAGCCGTGAAGGGGTTAAACACTGCAACGGAACTGGCATTGTAAAAGCTGTGTCTTTGTCCATGTCCTTTGTCCTAATCAAGGCGTTGTGCAGCTAAGCAACGTATTGTGAAATCAAACGCAAGCATATTGCGCAGCAAGAAATTTGTGACGCCAGGTTTACACATGGCTTAAGGTTGCGCCACGTTTTGTGAAATCGGCCGCAGGTTTACAAAGCAGGTATCAGAAATTGATTTCGGATTCACTGATCCTCGTGGTCAGTAAGGACATGTCAAATGTTGTCAAAATCGGACCCATATTTTTGGGCTACAAGAAGTCCATTCGGCAATGCAACATCTTGGACTTTTTACACTGATATTTTAGACGGTCATACACTTACTTGAATCAATTCTTTGCTTCACATTTCTCTTGTCATAAATGGTGCCTGAGATGAAAATAATTACCAGTTGGTTTCTGTATCTCACTGGGCCAGTTCCATCAGCGGCTCCACCCTGGCTCTCTTGGCCCCGCCTGTCTGCTTCTTGGCTGTTCCTTTCCCCCTGCCGACGCCCCCTCCAGACACGCTCCCGCCGGAACCGGAGCGGCCTGGGCCGGCCGTCGAGGAAGAGGAGGGGCTCTGTGCGTAACGGGTCACGCAGGAGACGCCGTCCACAAACTTGGTCTTGAAGAGGACGTTTGCGTTGTTGAACATGCCGTCCTTGAGCGACACCACGATGAACTGGTTTGAATTGATTAAAAAAATATCATGAAGACAGGGCTTACTTATATGTAGATATCTGTTCAAAAAAGGGTCAAATAACACTCTTAAATATTGTGATTTGAGCCCTCTTTAAAACAACTTTTCACAACTCCTTCACATCTCTACAGTACAGAGACAGATTTGATTGAAATTTGGTATACGCAAAGACATTTACCCTAAGTATCGTTCACTGTTTATTCCAAGTAAGCAGAGTGTTTTAAAATCATTGACACTGGCCAGAAACCCACAAAGATCCTTCAAAATCCAGCACCAACTTTTACAGAAGTTTTCAGAATTGTTATGGGTGAAACTCGCCCTCTAGGAATTTACTCTTTGTGGGGTTTCGTGCTTGAAAATAACCACTGCAGAAAGTGTTCCTTTGGAGCATTTTAACATGAAAATATTTCCTCAACCACCTAAATCCAACACAGCGCAGTCTAGCGACAGCAAACTCTATCTCTGTGATGGGACCTAGAGCCCTTGGGGGCTAAGTCCATCAAAAGAAGGCAAAGCGTGATACTCGGAGGAAATAGACTTCTGGCGATTCTGCGGCCTACCTGGGAGTGCTTGAAGTGGGTGCGAAGCATCTGGCCGATGTTCTGGGTGTGGGACAGATCCAACGCCGCGTCCACCTCGTCCAGGATGTACAGGGGCGCCGGTTTGAAGAGCAGCAAGGAGAGGATGAGGGAGAGAGCCACCAACGACCTAGGAGAAACAATGAGGAGAAACTAAATGGCCAGCTCCTTGGCGTATCATGGGGATTATCAATGCTGAGCCCCAAGGATGGCCACACTGAAAAATAATGTTGTTACAGCGCATTATCAAATCCTTGTAATTTCATATGGGTGATTGATTTGTATTGAAAAACAGAATGCTGAAGTTACTTTTGCTTTAAAGGGAAAGATATGTTCTAAATCAACCTCACATCTGAAGAAAAACGGACATCTTTTGCTTTGGTTGTAGAAATTACAAAATGAGATTTTTATTCCTATTCATAAATTGAACAAAAAATTTACCTCTGGCCACCGCTCAACTCAGACAAGCTCTCCTTCCACACGTCACCGAAGGCAACCTTCACTTCTAACCCGTCCAGAATGGAATGGCCCTCGACGGGCTGCAGCTTAGCTTGAGTGCCGGGCAGGAGGGTGGAGAAGATCGAACCAAAGTCCTGAGGGAGGGGTGGTCACAGAAAGAAACTGTTTCAATACAAGAGCAATGTGTGCGCGGCACGACATTCGCACTGTGATTCAGGGACACAAGCAGTGTTGCAGTCACGTCCTCTTGAGACTCTCCAAGTAAACTGTATTTGTATAACACCTGCGTATATCCCTGATTGGTGGATCGTCGCTCACATGTCACTGAATTATTCGTTATATTAAACGGTACCCATTGAATAGAACGTCATTTCATTTGACTGGTTCCCAACCCCATTTATATCTCATTCTCAGTAGGAAAGAGCCAAATAATGTAGGGCTGGTGACCAGTCTAACTTTGCACGGTTCTAACAGTGGGTGGCACACAAATCTGGTCCGGTCACAAAATGACGGACGTCAAGACACGAGCAGGACCTTTTGCTCTGACCGAAGAGGATTTATGCAGGTATTGCATCAAACAAATAATAGATGTTTCCCATTAATTCTGTGCAATAGTAAAACAACTTTATTGGGTGACAGATGAAAATGTATCGCCTCGTGGAATGGAACATCTGCCACCTCATAAAATTACTCTCAGCACTGCGCTGCGGCACACCAGCTTCCAAAGACCCACCTTGTTGACCTGTGCCCAGGCCTTCTTGAGGGCTTCGTTCTTCTTCTCGTCCAGCTCCTGGATGGTGGCCATGATCTTTTTCTTGTCGTTCTCCACGATGCGCTTCTTCTTCATCAAGTCGTTGTACTTTTTGGCACGGTAAGCAAATAAAAATCAGGGCACGGTGACTTTTGACGTCGAGGGTGCAATTTCCCTCAAGCCATCTGATTGGAGGCCGTCCATCAAAAGGACCCACTAACTTCTGGCCCGAGACTTTTTCTCCGTCCAGCAACGCTGTGTTTTAACAGTTCTTCAAAATGTCGTCGACGTCTTTTTTATATCCATACTGAGGAGAGGGTTCTTCATGGATTGAAGCCAGCTTGATATTCTGGCTTTGAATGATTTGTATTTCTGGATAAACATACCACTCTTCTGGTTAATTGCAATAGTGAGGACTCAGATAACGGTATGCACATGGCACGCGCATTTACAGAGGACTTTTTAAGGCATTTTCCTGAGTTTTGCTAACAACAAAAACGTTGCAAATTTTATATTTCACAAAAGCATCCAGGCAGGTGAAAACTGCACAACAAGATGGTGCTAGATATTGTGCTAAAAAACCAGCTTGATGGTTTTTCCAAACAGAGTGACCACACGCAGAATACTTTTACCAATAGATGTGTTGTGGTTCAAGGTTCATGCAGTACGAGTGTAACCGTTTAAGAGAATAACCGTCAAGTCGCAGCCTTAACAGCCCGGTTCATCTCACCTTCTCCTCGGCCTTGCTCAGCATGTTCATGGCCCGCATGTTGACGTTACGGCTCAGCTTCTCTTTAGTCTCCTGCAGCTTCTGCAGGCGGCGGGCCACCTCCCGCGGCTCCGTGTTGCTGAAGTCGTAGGCCGTGTTGGGCTGGCCAAAGTACTGCTTCTCGGTAGCAATCCACTCGTACTTGGTCATCAAGGTTTCCACCTGCAGGTCCAAGATGAAAAAAAACAAACAAAAATTATGTGTTGTTTGATGTTCTGTTCGCAAGTACAAGTATGCGTTCGGATCAATCTCTTAGGGGAAAAACTGTTGGCTCTGAGAAGGGCTTGGTGAGACAGATCTTTCAAGACCAACACTGCAGAGTTGGGTTTTCGGAAGCACTCTGGTAGAATTGGGTCCCAATGAGACACAGTTACTGACTAGGAAGCATTGTCTCGAAGCAGAAATGAGCAAATCAGTCTATTCATGGCTACATCCAAGATGGCAACATTGATGGCTTTTCATCCAAGAGGGGGGGGCAAGAAGTTGACTTTGTCCATCGACATGTACGCAGCCTTGACATGCATGAGAGCATGAACTATTTATGACTCAAAGCCAAAACCCTATGCTGGTTTGGAATGAAACGTCACTGATGGACTCATCATGACGGAAGCATTCATATGCATGCAACATTTCAAAGAGATCTCAAGCCCATCAGTTGGAAAAAGTTAAAAACGATCAAGAAACTTATTCAGGTTCAATAGCACTGTAGTCACCGAGGTAGCTTTCTGCACCCATGACGACAATCAAACAGGAATCCAGGCATCGGATCACAGAAATGGACAGTGGCGCGACGGCCGGGTAGTAACGGCGATCACCCACCTTATTAGCGGCATCCTTGCTGTCGCGCTGGTACTTGGCCATCTGGTGCTCTAGCTCCTTCATCTCCACCTGCGTGTCCTGGTCCTCCGTGCTCAGCTGGTGTTGCTGGGCGATCTTGGCCTGGATGTCCTGGTTGCGTTCCTTCAGCAACTCCTTCTGCCGCTCCAGGGCCTTCTTGGTCTCTCCGACGGCTTTCTGCGAAGCCAACAGATAAAAATCAAACCTCTTGTTTCCTCAAATAGCTGTTACTCACTCATAACTGCCTGGCACTTAACCAGAATGTAACTCCTTTCCCTCTTTTGTCACAATATACAACATCTGAAAAAAACGAGGGCGTGCAATATGGATTCCATCATAAGATACATTGTGTAAATGCCCAACTGGGAAAACCAAAACATGTTGTCTACACACAAAAGCCTTGATTTTGAAAATACTATGATTACTGTGCTAGGCCATTTCAGGAGTAAATTTTTTACCAATTTTTTACCAATGCTAATGAGATAACTCTGGTATTAACCACTTGCCACCGAGGTTTCCGGTACTGGACACGTATTCTTTATATGCGTGGCTGGGGTCTCCGAAATCGGATAAGGGAACTGAGCCTTGTAACAAAAGACTGTACTCGTAACAAAAGACCAGGCTGCTGGGCATTACCGACTTTTTGTCACTCTCAAGAATGGAGATAATCCAGCCTTGTTTGAAACAGTGTACCACAGTTTTGGGGATTTAGCGCAACAGGATTACCACTGGGGACAAATTTAAAAGTGCTCCACCACCACCACAGCAATGAGCCACACAGTACCGCTATACGCTAATCTGGCCCCTATTGAAAAGAGGTCTTTTTACAAGGCAGCAGGCCTGGCTGAAATATTCCAGTGTCAGTAGATGTTTTGGGGACAAGATTATCACCGGGGACAAAAGCACTCCACCACCGCAGCTAGTGAAAAGAGGTCAGCAGCGCACTGTGCCAGTTTCGTGAACAAAAGAAAATTGCGTAACACCGCAACATCTGGGCTCTTTTTACAAGGCAGCAGGCCTGGCTGAGTTGCTCCAGCGTCAATAAATGTTGTCTGTCAGATTAAAGTAGAAACCAGACAGTCCTTCGTGTGGGTGTAAGTGTCCAGTAAATGAAGATATGAAATTTTAAAGAATTTTGAAAACACAAAAAAAATGATAATTATCCTGCCCCGGCATCATCAACATTTGATAACTGCCACCGGCGCGAAGTGGTTAAAAGAGGTCCTTCGAAACTGTGACTAAATTGCTGGAACTGCATTGTCAAAGTGGGCTTATCTTTGAAGCTAAGGAAAAAACTGTAGCCTATCAGGTCACAGGATTGATAAATCACGTGGTCGTTGTGACGCAAGCAGTGTTGCTGTGCCGTAGTCTATTCACTCAGAGTTTAATCAGCAATTAATTTGACAGTAGTCCTTTTCCAACTTCAAAGACTACCCATTCACCTAGCCAAATTGCCTGACACAACACAGAAGCTGAACATTTATTGAACTTCAGTGACAGTACATCTCGAGTACCCAGGAGGGCAGTTAGACTCCCTAACAGCCGTCAGTACTGTACCTTGGTCTCCTTAGCCTTCTCCTCCATCTCTCTGACCTGCTCTTCAAAGCCAGCGATAGCCTTGTCTACGGCCGCCAGCTGGTCGTCGTACTTGGTGAGTTCCTTCTTGAGATCCTCAACCTCAAGGCGCAATGTGTCCATTTCCTACATGTAACAAAAGAACCGAATAAGGGTCAGGAGTTTCCGAGCAGCCCATTTTCAATACTGCTGTAGCACAAACAGCAAGATTCCAGGGGCTATCGTGATAGCTTGCATGTGAGAGAACGCACTAACTGTGCTTTGTTACCCTGGTAAGATAAGGTACAGTTCGAAGGATGATTTTAAGGTTACTGCTGTTCTTCGCTTTCAGTTTGCGTTAATTTTTCAGACTCCGTTATTGTAAAAGTAAAAAACGAAAATCGAAACGGTTTTGTCAAAACAACCCTTCACTAGTTTCTGCTTTGACAGCGAAACAAAAAAACCAAAACCCCAAATAAATGAAACAAACAAAAAACCTCCAAAACAAATGAAATAAAACAGTTCTGCAAGCCAAAGACCAGTTTCAAACACAAGTAATATTTGGTAGACAAGTGGGGGGAATACCGGCGATTCACAATACAGTGCGCCACCAAGAGGTTGGCATGGAGAGGCCTTTTCGCAGTGCATTATGGGATAGTCGACAAAGTCTTAATCGTTGCACTGTGTGTGGGAAACTTCAATTTTTCCGAATGTTTGTTTATCTTAATTGAAAATTCAAAATTGCCTGTTACAAATGGATGATAGATAATCAAAATGGTTTTGTGTGGTGTAGGGAACGATTCAATCAATCAAATATCCTCAAGGTACGTTCCAAAGTGCGCTCAATCACAGCAGCCTGTCGACTGTGAAAAGTGGCCTGTGAGTAACAAACGCTTGGTGGCATTGGTAGGAAATATTGTGAATTGCCCGTATTGGGAAACCCGTGTAAGAACAGTGCCAAAATGCTTCGCGTCTGGGCTGCAGGCCTAAATTGACAGCTGCACACAAGTTTTTGACCTATTCCAAGATAGCCCTCTGAAGGCACCGAACTCCCCTACCTGCTGCTTCTGCTTCATGGCCTTGTTGGCCTCCTCAGCCGCCTTCTTGGCCTTGGTCACCCCGGCCTCTGCCTCCTTCAGCTCCTTCTCCCGGACCGACTTGGCGTCCTTGATCTTGGCCTCCAGCGTCTTGCTCCTCTCGGCCAGCTCCCGCTGCTTCTCCTTGGCCGCCGGAATGGTGGCCTCCTGCTCCGCTGCAGGCAAGCAATTGGGATTTCGCTCATTACTTTTTGACCTGCATGCATTTCTGTAAGAGCGGTCTTGAATCTCCAACATCCAGCGAAATGCAGTGAATTTGAGACCAATGCTTGACACATTTCCCGCTGACATCTGAAAACCAAATTCCGTGGCTTTTCCAGGACTCTCCAGGACTAAAACATGACAATTTTCCATAATATTTAACACCATTTTGCAAACAAAACTGTTTGGTATAACTGACTGGAAGACTACCATTGCCACTACTGTAAATTTATTTATAAATTTATCCCTTTATGAAAAAAAAAATTCCATCAAAAATAACCCAGGCAAGAGAGTGATTTCCATGACTTTCCAGGACCACTTTCTCTCACACGATTTCCCATGACCGCGGGAACCCCACTTGAATTTCAAATAGTTTATCCCAACCGGACAGAGCAGGCAAAGGTCAGTAGACGGTGCATTCCAGACACCTTCATGCATACTACGGAGGACAGGATGGGGGCCAATATTGTCGAAAGTTTACATACACCTGGATTGAGTTATTCATTACAATGTTGGAGGTTGAATCCATTCTTGGTGTTCATTTATTAGCCAATCAGCCACCGTATTCATTTCTTTTAAATAACGTTTCTAAAGTGCATTAATATTACGATTGATCAGCTGCAGAAGAGGCATTTCCAATAATAGATCAAGTCTTACAACTTTAAACTAAACAGTCCAAATGTAAGTAAACTGTAGACCGCAACCGTATGTGATACGTTAGTGTCAACCCGCACTAGACCAAGGAGCTGAACGACTAGAAACGCAGAACCAAAACCACTGATTGGGGTGTTGGAGAGGAAGAAACCAAAGTTAGAGCTGCCACCTACCCACTGAAGCTTCGAGTGCCTGGATCTCCTCCAGCTGCTTGTGGTGGGAGCTCTGCTGCAGTCTCTCCTGGAGCAGCGCCGCCTCGTGCACCTTGAGGTCGTACTGCTCCTTCAGCTGACGGAACCTGCAATGGGCGAGATTGTCAAGCCAAGGGTTACAGTGTGGCCCAGTGTTAGACTGGTTAGGTTCAAAACACAAGGTGTGGCTCGTGCAAAAAGCGCTCGCATCTCAACATTACGATCCTGTTTGATCCCCAGCCGGGGCCACGCATGATGTGAGTGAATCGTTTGATTTCTCTACTGTGCTTCCAGGGCTGATTTCCCCCCTCCCAAATTAACACCTACGATCTCTGGCTATGCTCTATGGTCGGAGATGGGTAGTTTGGCAACTGTCTGGGGCACCTTTCCAAGACTACGGCTCGACCAAATTGTGGCTACCATGCATCCTTCGTAATGCAACATTGCAGTTGGGAGTATGAATGATCCCCTCCCCATACTATATATAAAAAATGACATACAGCAAAACAGAGGACAAACAATTTGGATCAAGATTAGATATTTTGATGACTGACTTGTCAGCAGCCCCTCGGAGGGTGCCCAGCTCCTTGTCCACGGCCGCCAGCTCCTGCTCCTTCTTTCCCAATTCCCTCTCTGCATCTTGGAGCTCGCTCAGCTTGGCCAAGACTGTTGAGCCTTTGGCGCGAGCACCTACGAGAGATGAGTAAGTGAGTAAAAGTATCAAGCACAAGCACTGGCGTTAAAGCAAACTTTTCGTCGAGAAGTTGCTTGACACGTTAATCCTAACCCTCTCGGGTAGTTATGGCTACAAACTCTGCCAGGCACATTGGTCTGCACCATATGTAAAAGTGGCTTGCCTGCCCAGTGC